GATATGTGAATCATTTCTATAAGAAATTCACACCTCTCCCATAACCTTGCTGGAGAAACACCAAAAATCCGAGTCAAATTTTCTGAGAAGATCTGGGGAAAGATTCATCATGATTTTCTCCCACTCCTCCTCCAGTGATATGTGAATCAATTCTATAAGCAAATTCACAATCTCCTCACACCTGCTGAGAAAATGACTTGTAAAAAACTGAAATGCATATCTGAGGAAAGATTCATCATGATTTTCCTACCCATCAACATATGTGAATCATTCTATAAGAAATTCACACCTCTCCCATGTCCCTGCTGAGAAAAATGATTTCTTAAAAAATCCGAAGTCAAATCTTCTGAGATAAACGGCCTCCTGGCAAGATTCATCATGATTTCTTTTAACCCAGTGATATGTTAATATTCTATAAGAAATTCACACTTCTCCCATAACCTTGCTAAGAAAACATGATTTCTCCCCAAAAAAATCCGAGTCCTTTTTTCTGAGATGAATCATTCGAGGAAAGATTCATCGTGATTTTCGCACTCTCCAGTGATATGTGAACATTCTATAAGAAAGTCACACCTCTCCCATAAACTTGCTAAGAAAAATGATTTCTCCCAAAAAACACCGAGTCCAATTTTCTGAGATGAATCCTTCGAGGAAAGATTCATTGTGATTTCCGCACTCTCCAGTGATATGTGAACATTCTAAAAGAAATTCACACCTCTCCCATAACCTTGCTAAGAAAAAATGATTACTTCCAAAAAAAATCCGAGTCCAATTTTCTGAGATGAATCCTTCGAGGAAAGATTCATCGTGATTTTCGCACTCTCCAGTGATATGTGAACATTCTATAAGAAATTCACACCGCTCCCATAACCTTGCTAAGAAAAAATGATTTCTCCCCAAAAAAATCCGAGTCCAATTTTCTGAGATGAATCCTTCGAGGAAAGATTCATCGATTTTCGCACTTCCAGTGATATGTGAACATCTCTATACATAAATTCACACCTCTCCCATAACCTCATATAAGAAAAATGATTCTAAAAACCGAGTCCAATTTTCTGAGATGAATCCTTCGAGGAAAGATTCATCGTGATTTTCGCACTCTCCAGTGATATGTGAACATTCTAAAAGAAATTCACACCTCTCCTATAACCTTGCTAAGAAAAAATGATTTCTCCCAAAAAAAATCCGAGTCCAATTTTCTGAGATGAATCCTTCGAGGAAAGATTCACTGTGATTTCCGCACTCTCCAGTGATATGTGAACATTCTAAAAGAAATTCACACCTCTCCCATAACCTTGCTAAGAAAAAATGATTACTTCCAAAAAAAATCCGAGTCCAATTTTCTGAGATGAATCCTTCGAGGAAAGATTCATCGTGATTTTCGCACTCTCCAGTGATATGTGAACATTCTATAAGAAATTCACACCTCTCCCATAACCTTGCTAAGAAAAAATGATTTCACCCCAAAAAAATCCGAGTCCAATTTTCTGAGATGAATCCTTCGAGGAAAGATTCATCGATTTTCGCATCTCCAGTGATATGTGAACATTCGAAAGAAATTCACACCTCCCATAACCTTGCTAAGAAAAAATATTTCTCCCCAAAAAATCCGAGTCTGCTTGAGATGAATCCTTCGAGGAAAGATTCATCGTGATTTTCAGCACTTCAGTGATATGTGAACATTCTATAAGAAATTCACACCTTCTCGTAAACTGCCTGGAAAAATGACTACTTCCAAAAAAAACGAACTGAATGAGATGAATCCTTCGAAGAAAGATTCATCGTGATTTTCGCACTTTTCAGTGATATGTTAACATTCTATAAGAAATTCACACTTCTCCCATAAATTTGCTAAGAAAAAATGATTTCTCCCCAAAAAAATCTGAGTCCAATTTTCTGAGATGCATCATTCGAGGAAAGATTCATCGTGATTTTCGCACTCTCCAGTGATATGTGAACATTCTATAAGAAATTCACACCTCTCCCATAACCTTGCTAAGAAAAATGATTTCTCCCAAAAAACCGAGTCCAATTTTCTGAGATGAATCCTTCGAGGAAAGATTCATCGTGATTTTCGCACTCTCCAGTGATATGTGAACATTCTAAAAGAAATTCACACCTCTCCTATAACCTTGCTAAGAAAAAATGATTTCTCCCAAAAAAAATCCGAGCCCAAATTTTCTGAGATGAATCCTTCGAGGAAAGATTCATCATGATTTTCGCACTCTCCAGTGATATGTGAACATTCTATAAGAAATTCACACCTCTCCCATAACCTTGCTCAGAAAAAATGATTACTTCCAAAAAAAATCCGAGTCCAATTTTCTGAGATGAATCATTCGAGGAAAGATTCATCGTGATTTTCGCACTCTCCAGTGATATGTGAATATTCTATGAGAAATTCACACCTCTCCCATAAACTTGCTAAGAAAAATGATTTCTCCCAAAAAAAACCGATTCCAATTTTCTGAGATGAATCGTTCGAGGAAAGATTCATCGTGATTTTCGCACTCTCCAGTGATATGTGAACATTCTAAAAGAAATTTACACCTCTCCCATAACCTTGCTAAGAAAAAATAATTTCTCCCCAAAAAAAATCCGAGTCCAATTTTCTAAGATGAATCCTTCGAGGAAAGATTCATCGTGATTTTCGCACTCTCCAGTGATATGTGAACATTCTATAAGAAATTCACACCTCTCCCATAACCTTGCTAAGAAAAAATGATTTCTCCCCAAAAAAATCCGAGTCCAATTTTCTGAGATGAATCCTTCGAGGAAAGATTCATCGGGATTTTCGCACTCTCCAGTGATATGTGAACATTCTAAAAGAAATTTACACCTCTCCCATAACCTTGCTAAGAAAAAATGATTTCTCCCAAAAAAAATCCGAGTCCAATTTTCGGAGATGAATCCTTCGAGGAAAGATTCATCGTGATTTTCGCACTCTCCAGTGATATGTGAACATTCTAAAAGAAATTCACACCTCTACCATAACCTTGCTAAGAAAAATGATTTCTCCCCAAAAAAATCCGAGTCCAATTTTCTGAGATGAATCATACGAGGAAAGATTCATCGTGATTTTCGCACTCTCCAGTGATATGTGAACATTCTATAAGAAATTCACACCTCTCCCATAAACTTGCTCAGAAAAAATGATTACTTCCAAAAAAAATCCGAGTCCAATTTTCTGAGATGAATCCTTCGAGGAAAGATTCATCGTGATTTTCGCACTTTTCAGTGATATGTTAATATTCTATAAGAAATTCACACTTCTCCCATAACCTTGCTAAGAAAACATGATTTCTCCCCAAAAAAATCCGAGTCCTTTTTTCTGAGATGAATCATTCGAGGAAAGATTCATCGTGATTTTCGCACTCTCCAGTGATATGTGAACATTCTATAAGAAATTCACACCTCTCCCATAAACTTGCTAAGAAAAATGATTTCTCCCAAAAAATACCGAGTCCAATTTTCTGAGATGAATCCTTCGAGGAAAGATTCATCATGATTTTCGCACTCTCCAGTGATATGTGAACATTCTATAAGAAATTCACACCTCTCCCATAACCTTGCTAAGAAAAAATGATTTCTCCCAAAAAAAATCCGAGTCCAATTTTCTGAGATGAATCCTTCGAGGAAAGATTCATTGTGATTTTCGCACTCTCCAGTGATATGTGAACATTCTATAAGAAATTCACACCTCTCTCGTAACCTTGCTCAGAAAAAATGATTACTTCCAAAAAAAATCCGAGTCCAATTTTCTGAGATGAATCCTTCGAGGAAAGATTCATCGTGATTTTCGCACTTTTCAGTGATATGTTAACATTCTATAAGAATTCACACTTCTCCATAGCCTTGCTAAGAAAAATGATTTCTCCCAAAAATCCAGGTCAATTTTTCGGAGATGAATCATTCGAGGAAAGATTCATCATGATTTTGCCACCCTCCAGTGATATGTGAATCATTCTATAAGAAATTCACACCTCTCCCATAACCTTGCTGAGAAAAAATGATTTAAAAAAAAAAAATCCGAGTCCTGTTCTACCATAACATGCATTTGGCCACTTTGGGCTCGCTGTGATGACGCAAGAGATCTGCCCTGGCAGCTGGTGGGACGTTGTTTCCATTGTTTACTGGCAGTAACTGGTAAATATTTTTTTAACCTAACGAAACTATTACCCGTGTAGAGGTCGACACCCAATTTTTTGGCCCAAAAATTTGGGGATATTTTTGTGTAATGAAGAAGTTTTTCAAACTGGTAAATCCCAGAAATTAAAAATATCATCTCCCCAAAGGAGCAACACACCAACTATTATGTATCAAAAAGCTAAGTGATATTCAGTTGGATTTCTCTCACCAACTTTTATCATTGTACAAAACTCAGTTGAATTTCTTGACAACATAAATGGTTGGTGAGAGAAATCCATTTTGTACCTTTTTGACACATGATAAAAGTCTAACTGAGTTTTTGTAATGTAAGTTGAAATTTCTCTCACCAACCATTTATCATTAGTTGAAACCTGAGTATATATTTGGTGCAGGATATGACTCATCACTTTGTGTGTGTATAAGACAAGCAGGATATGAGTCATCTCTCTGTTAAGTGTGAGACAACTTTATCTTACTTCTCTTTGTTTAAAATAATATCATATATGATAGTTGGGTTTTACCAAGTGTACTAAAACGCTGGCGAGAAATAAGAAAAATAAAATTATTGGTAAGAGAATCCACCCAGTTGAGTTTTACCAAGTGTACCAAAATGTTGACGAGAAAGAAAAATATTTTTATGAGACTCCACCCATGGGGGAAGCCCTTACCACAGGCGGCCTCTGATTGGTCCAGACAATCCTATCTTTTTCCTCATATTTAGCTCCTCCTTACAGATTTTTACAGTCAACAAATTTTAGTTACACCGTAAGGTGTGTCTAGTGTTTAATATTTTACTTTGTGAAAGACGAAAGAAAACTTACCTTAGTAAATTACAGTGTTTATAGTTTAGACTCAAATTCAAAACATTATTGACTTACATCAAAAGGAACTCTTTCGTGTTAGCGTTAAGAAAAAAGCAGCACAAGATAAGAATTATGTTGGTGGAACAGGTAAGTCATAATATTGTTAGCGTGGTTATTGATTGACAATATGAAACAAGCTTAACTATGGTTTTTCTGAGGCTTGGTACGATTTTACGTGTTTGTAAACTCAAGGAAGTAGTGTGGTGGCTCTTCGTCGTTAATGAATACACATATTTTCCTTATATGAGAACATTCATTAAAAGAAACATCGTTCTTCGAAGTTTGTCGTGTGAGTAAATGGTAAAAACTTTACCGTTCAACCTAATTTTTTTTTTACGTGGATTAACCAACCCAGGCACAGTGACTGACCCACGTCGGGGCCTGTAATAATAATTCTTTAGTACTATTAATAATAATAACAACTTTATTAATAATAATATTAATAATAAATAACCATAAATACCGAAATGAAAACACATAAAAAGTGAGAATCAATATACAGTATGTATGTTGTGTTGTCGATATTACGAGAAACAATTGGGACCCTGCAATTGTGTGTAAATGACACATTTAGTCAGATCAGCAACCTTGGACTTGCTCCTAATTATCGTGATGCCATATGGCAGCAGGGTCTACCATTAGACAACACATTATGCTTCCAATATCTTCCCACCCGGTAGTCAGGGAAGTCTGTTACTGTTAATAATTTCCCCACAACTAAAGGATTTTCTTATTATACTTATCATATAGTTTACTCAATTTTAAGACACATTTGTCATTGTGTCGCAACTGACGTGGAACAGAGATAGTTAATATGAGTTTGTGGTCCAGGGTGGCGAAGACCTCCCGTTGGTAAGGAAGTTAGGTTAGGTAGGTTTGGTTACTGTTATAAACTACATATTAATAATTACGTTATTTCCGACGGTAATGAAGGTCATAATGTGTAAGTTACCATAGAATTCCTTTTTTTTATGTCGTTAATTTTCATTCATCAATAGATTTATATTCATATTTGGTATACATTAATATGTAAATTTTACTTTGTTCGGCTTATAGGCAAGGATGCTCTATCTTATGAGTTTACAACTAATACAGGTGGAAAATTTCTGGCTGCGACTATTGTTTTTTACTTATTTTACCATTTATTGTTTGTTACCGTAAATTTAATTAACTTTTGACATAGATAAAGGAGAATTTTTGTGGCTACAGCTACAATGATAGGTTAGGTTATAATGTTTGGAACTATTTCAGTAGATTCCTTTGTAACTGATTTCTGCCAAATATAACATAGTTAACGTATAGTGTATGTAACCACAGCTCACAGTAAGACTGTTATTATTTATTTTTTTCTCTTCAAGGTGGCGGCCCCCAAATTGAAATTACATACACTGCAATTGAAGAAGCAGTTCTTCAACTCTTAGATCCAGCCTCTATACATGGGATTCCAGGGAATTTGGAAAGTGAAGAACTCATTGATGGTAATTCACTCAACATACTTTTCCAACCCCTGATATATTTTGTTCTTTTCTGTCCTTGTTTTTATTTAAAAAATACTTTTGGAGACATTTTTTCACATCTTAATTTTGAAATACTGTACAGTATACTGATTTTTTATATATTTTTTAAAAATAACAACACTAGAAAGTTGGTTTCATTTCTAGCTTGTTTATTGCTTCCCTAAGTTAGATATTAAATGTTGTTATAACTCGTATGTTAATGGACAAAATTGAGAAGTGCAAATATAAGAAATTTACCGCCTAGTTGATATTTAAATTTAATATTATTTTATACAAATATATTTAGATGGTCAACACTTTTTCAAACCATTATTTTTCCTAAAAACTTTTATATATTTTGAACTACAGCATATTTTAATTATACTCTTAACATAGACTTCAATCAAACTATTATACTACATTTCTTTCCAGAAGAAGAAAGAGAACCAACCCCCGGACCCTCAGGAGCTAGGTTTACGGCTAGTTATTCCCGAGAGGAATTTATGTTTCGGCCCATTCAAGAGAAGTATGATTCTATAACCCTCATTCTGAATGAGGATATACAGGAACATGATATCACAGTACCCATTGTGCATTTAGAACCTGAAACTTCAGCACCTACAAACATTCATGAATTTTCATCATTCAGAACATATGAAGTAGAAAGATGTAGCTCAAGCAAAACTCGTCAACCTATTGCTGCTACCACGGAACAGCGAAGTAGGTCTCATACCCCTTCTGCCACAGCTGATATGTCAACTGTAAGTGGTGATTGCACTGATGGACTGGGTTCATCTCCAATACCAAGTACGATCAGAAGTGGTAGGAGGCCACGAACCACTTCTGCCCGAAAAGATGAAGATTTTCTTCCAGAGATGCTTCGTGTTCAGACACAAATGAGGGACAGCTTGTAGCTAACACCGAGTGCATTGCATCTGCACTGCAAACCATTGCAAAAGTTGTGCAGTCGAAAAATCCTATCCTATGATGCTGTGTTTATGGTATGGGTATATGTAGTTGTTTACTTATGTAAGTCCTTTACTTTTGGTAAATGTGATAATAACGTAGTTGAAAAGTCATCAAACACTTATTATAAATTTTCCTTTGTGTGATTGTTATGAAGGAAGACAGGGCATGTTGAAAAATTGTGTAACTTTCACTTGCAGCCTATACTAGTCATGAAAATTTAACAGGAATATTTAGCTCTCCAGAAGTTAATTAAAATCACAAAGTTAAGTGAAAGACACACATTTGTTAACTAATAACATGTGTTGCAGTGCTACTACGGGTAATGTTACCCAGGTGTTTGGTAAAAGTTCCTACCACAATCAAAAGTATATGTTTGAAAACAGGCTCATGTACTTTTTATTTTTTAAAGGTTCCTTTATTTTGTAATACGTAGTCAATTTCCAGTTCAACGAGTTTTATTTATTTGTTTGTAGTTTGGGAAGTATGATTCAAGTAGGTTGAAACAGAAATAATGGTGCAAATTCACCAACAGCCTACTGTTGCATTGGTTCTTTCATAAGGATGTGCTGTCTCATGCTAAATTGTATAGCTTAACAAGCCAAGAGTATTCATTTTTTTCTTTATTACTTATAGTATTACAGTATTCGGTTACAAGTTTCTTTTAATATAAGGGTATTGATGCAGGTACATTCTAGTCATGAGAGTTCCGTGAGTAATTCTAGACATGAAAATTATACTGTATTCCATTATTAAATCTAAAAAATGGCAACAAATAACAGTACAGTAGTTGTATTAGTTTTTCACAACGATGTGGTGACCCATGTCAAATTGTGTAGTTTAAGATGCAAACAGTAGCAATATTTTTTTTTCTTGTTTCAATTTCTCAAATATGTTTTATATAATGATTTTTTGTTTCACAAACTTTAGTGCCTTTGGTATTTAGTAGTATTAAAAGTATACTGTATTGGAATCAAATTTGCTCAAGGATTTAGTACATATATTATTAAGGTAAAAGAAAGCCATTTATTTTCTATAAAGAAGTTTATTTTATTATGTACAGTGTATTGAAAATAAACGTTAAATCAATGTACACTTTATTCACATTACCTCTGTATACTGCACTAAAAAATAATAATTAAACAGAGGAAAAAATTTATTGGTGAATTGATATTTGATTTTAATTCATCAAGTAAACGAATTACGGACTATATTGGCTCGGACTGCTTGGCCCGTCCCTAGTTCAGCTACAGCTGGACTGTCGATCTCTCCATCATCGTCGACCATGTCGCGGGGAAGTGGTACCCTTCTCATTACACAATAATTGTGAAGAAGGAAACATGCAGCTACAATTTTGCCACATTTGGAAGGATCGTATTGAAGTGATCCGCCAGAACGGTGAAGGCATCTAAATTTTGATTTTAGGATACCAAAAGTTTGCTTTACAACCACGCAGGTGTTAAAAAGCATTTAAAAGACATCCTCTTGCCTCTTGTCTGTCACATACTCGCATTTGAAACTGATTTCTGGTAGGAACAGCAGCATTCTCAGGAGCCGGAGAGTCTTTTGACCTGTGTTCATTTTATTAGGTAGTAAATATCTCCGTCAGCCGGAATCCTTGAAACCGCCGTAATTGAAATTTTATCTAAAATTAATTCCCAAAGCATGATTTTGCAGGAAACTTACAGCTTAGGTAATGATTTTCAAAGGGGCACATTTTCCTGAAAATTATGAAGAAATTTCCCAGATAACCAAGAAAATTCCAGAGATGGGGGATATATTTCTGGGTTCGAGAGATGATGTAATGGGCAATTGCAGGAACTACCGAAAAAATTTTCCATTACCATAAACATAATGGGGATGAGGGATATTTTCTTGATTTGAGATAATCGTCTCGTTAATGGGAAAACTCATTCACGGAAGTGCTCTTCACCAATTGTTCCGGCTAACAGAGATCTCACAGTATTTGGTGTTTTGCCACACTAGAATTTAGGTAAATAATCCCTTGCATAATGTTGGCCTGTAACAAGACACATAAGCTATAATAAGATAGCCTTATTCTGCTATCATAGCCTTGCCTAACCTAAATGACAAATCACTTGTATGTAGTGTATGAGCTAAATTTTCTAGTTCTTGTAGCTCATCACTCAATACTATCAACTCCTTGTTTGTAGTGCATGAGCTAAACTTTCTAGTTCTTGTAGCTCATCACTCAATACTATCTAGATCAGTGGTTCTTAACCTTTTTACTACCACGCCCCCCTCTAGGAATTGGTCCTTCCCTCCACGCCCCCCTTGCATCTGTGAACAAAACATAAGGCACGTGTTAGGTAAGATAAACATCACCACGTGCTCATGAACACCACAACATCATGATAATCACAACCACATGATCAATAACAAACATATGATCGTAAAGTTCGTAAACACTACAAGTGACTACAATCATACATGATCATAAACACCACCATATCATTAACAAGCATCAATGATCACAACATGATCATAAACACCACTACATGATCATAAACACCACCACATAATTATTAAGTAAATATTAACAAACACCACAACATTATAGTAAACACATCATGATCATAAACACATGATTATCAAGAAACAAATCAATATCATCATAAATACAACTTTACCATAACCACCTGTTACCACCACATAATTTTAAGCACCACCAACTTCTGATAAAATACAAACAGAATGCAAAACTTACGAATAACAAACAGAGCAACACATGCGTGCTCACAATTCACCAATAAACTTATGGCTGCTTACTATTTTTAGGGAAATATAACAACTGGGATAAAACATACCTCAACAGCCTTAACTGAATAAATGTGAGAGAAGAGGAATTATTGCCACGGACGTGTGCAGAAGACTGGGAGAGAACTGGGCTCACCAGTCACCAACTAGCAGTATACAGGTCCAGGAGGAGTTAACCCCCCCCCCTCCCCATGGGTTTCGAGGGATAGGGAGGGGGTCAATAAGTACAGAAAATGGTAAGCCCTAAGTCAAAAAAGTAGCCTATAGAAAACTAAAGTTATAAGGCGATACTTTTGCATTTTTTCATAAACCTCTCAATATTAGCCCACACTCTTGTTAAGAGAATAAAAACTATAATTATAATCAGAGAAATTCCTACGTTTTCCCTAGGGCTTGCGTCCCCCAGGTTAAGAACCACTGATCTAGGAGGACACCATGAGTCACATTATATCATTATAAAAATATAAGGGAGAAAACATTTTCCCCCAAACTTAATCAATGACTCAAAATTATCATATTATTAGTAAGTTAATTCATTAAGATCTCTTATTGTTATACAAGTCACTCATTTGACAATTATAAACAATTAACTCACCATGACGTATCTCTCTCCCGACTCTTATCTCAAGTATCCCTTAGCTCAATGATTTTTTTTTTTTTTACATAAAATAATTTCATTTAGAACATTTTATTTAGAGGGATCATCAAGATCTTTATTTGTTGCCAATCAGGGGCAGACAGACATTATTCCCCAAGTAATAAATGGGCGAAAATTTCTACATGCACACTATTATCAGGCAGGGTTGACAGTGCCGAGTCGCTAACATAGCAATCTATTGGCAACAGCGTTCACTATTAATCTAGCAATACTTAATGGGTTGAGAATTCCACCCTGAATTGTTCTCATATAACCCATATAAGGATGTAAAGTCCATTTCAACATAACTCTAGATTGCTAGGAAGATCGGAAGGTCAACATTCCGGAAGGAACGCTAAGTCTAGCAGCCTCGCTAAAGTTCGCCTGGAAAGGCTGAACCCGCTACTGAGGACATCAAAAATAAAGTTATCAAGAAAAAAACTCTAATTGTTTGGTTAATTTATAATTTAGTTCTTGTAATTTTGCATCATTTTGGCTAATGATTGCATCTGCTTAGTTCTTTAATAATAAATTTTCATTTTGTTGCTTAGTATTTGTCTCATAAAATTCTTTTAATTTATAATTTAGTTCTTCATCTTATTGTGTAATGGTATTTTCTTTTATATTAATTTGTTCTTTTAATTTGTCATTTACGTCTTGTATGATATTTTCTGAATACAGGTAGTTCTGCTATAACGCGATAATTGTGTTCTTGTAAAATATCGTGTTAAAGAAAATCGAGTAATAGAAATAACAGGGCTTATGGAGAAAATAGGGTTAGGTGCAGATTACTCGAAATCGAAAAAATTTAGTAGTTAGCCTAACACAAAGGATAGCACAGTCTAAATAAATGTTACATTCATATCTAATAATGAAATCATACAGTAAATGTAACACTTTACTTGATGGGGGAGAAGGGTGATTTTGAGGTTGATAAAATCGAGCTTCTCTTCAAGTGTTATATCCTTTCTTTTACGATCATCACCGGGAATTCTATCACCAGAACGCTTCTTGTTGATATTCTTCTTTACTATATTCACAGTTAATACAGTGGGGTATGCTATAACGAACGGATCCTACTACGAATATTCCTAAACGAACGGTTTTACCTATAAAATTGAGAATGCTATAACGAACGAAACTCCTACAACGAACATTATTTAATTTTTTTTTCTAATTTATTGTTTTTTTATTACAAATATTAATGATATTCTTTATTTCAGGGGTTTAGATGCATATTTATGCACTTTTTTACAATTTTTACAATTTTATATTATATTTTTCAGTGTTAAGTGGTTGTATTTGGGGGCCTGGAACGGATTAATCCTATAACGAACGAATGCTATAACGAACAAGGTTCTAGAACCAATTAGATTCGTTATAGCATACCCCACTGTACCACAAAATTGGAGAAATAGTAAGCAAAAATCGCGTTATAGCAAACAAGCGTTCGCGTTATACAAATATCGTTCCTAATTCATAAATCGCGTTAGAGCAAATTCGCGTTATCAAAATACGCGTTATAGCAGAACTCACTGTACCTGGAAAATAAGGATATGATATTTTCTAAAGTTTTAATATTATTACCAGTTAAATATTCTAGTCTAGTAATAATGTTGGAAGTTTTCATTAGAGTATTTATATGATTAATATATGTATGAAAGAAACTAGGTTTTGTGTTTATTATTTGATATAATTTATTTATATAAATATCTTCAAGATCTAAATATGGTTTAAATACTTCATCTATTTGAGATTTTAATTCTAAAAAATTTAAATTTTGTCCTTCTTCTGCAACAACTCTATCAAATAATAAGTTTAAATAGGGCTTTAATACAACAAATTCATCCATTATTTTTAAATATTATTAAAAATGACATAAAAGGTCTGATGCTACAGTAATTGGTTTAGTGCCTACTAGCTATATTGACCAGGATATAAATACAGCTGATGATAATATTAACGATATTAGTAATACTAATAGTATTAACGATGTAAATACTAATAATATCAATGACAGTAGCAATGGCAATAGAAACATTCCCTTAGATGAATGTAATGAAATTAAAATAATAAAAAAGCCTTTTTTTCTAAAAACCAGTTTTTGTGATATAGCTCAAATGTGACGATAAGCAATGCTACCTAGGTATGTTAATTCCTAGCCAATTCGCCAGGCCAACATACAGGCAATTAAAACATCTAACAATTACTTAATGAGTAATATTAGGAGGACACGTCACTACCAGGCATTTAATTGCTACTTTTTATTGGGAGACTTGGTTACTATTATTAGTACGCTAGAATATTTTCTTAGTGTTTCTACTTAAGTATTAAAGACGATCAAAATTAATTATAATGCTACAGATTTAAAAGAAGATTAAATTAAAATAATTAGTCCCTGTCGGTGGAGGTAAACAAGTAAGGATTCGAGAAGCGTAAGATTGTAAATTATCACGTAATAGATTTTAATTTTTTGTTCCCAAACGCAAACGTTTGATATCTTCAAAAGACCTTGCTGAAATTGCCGAGGCAGGAAAATGATTACCTCGTCGACTGATGGGGTTGAGGGGTTTAACAGAAAGTACTGTTAATTGTAATAAAATGGCTGTATAATTAATATTATTTGTTTTGAATAACCTGAAAAGGTTATGGAGATTAATTAGGCTACATAGTTGTCCAAAGTGACACTTAACACCACGTATATCAGTATTGTACATATATTAAATATAATTTAGGGTTTACTCTTCCGAGAATGATAACGTCGATTAACCAGCCGTGACAAAGGTTATAAATTGGATGAGGATTAATGGTCCCAAAGCGATTTATTTGATCACTTAATACGTATGTAAACCACATTTTATTGGGGCGTAAATCCATAAGATTGTTTATAGCTGTACCAGCAGATGATTTATCGTAGAGATGGAAATAGTGAAGAAATGTACTGTAATTGTATAAAATTGTGACCATAATATGTTTCGGGTGTCACTGGTTGATCAATCAATATTATAGATATATAATTGTACAGTATTACTTTTTAATATCGTCAATGTGTGTTTGGTTGTTACTATTGATTAAATCTTGTACGGGGTATTATATTAGAATAAACATTTACTTTTTTTTTAAATTTATCACCAGTATGGGATTCTTTCGTAAAATTAGACAATGACAGAAAATGGAGATTATCCAAATTAAGAATAGGTGGTGTGTATTAGAAAATATTTGGTTCTGGTTCTTTGGAAATATTAATGGGTAGTAACAGCTTCATTGTACATATCATGTGTTGCATCCAGTTATTGAATCGAGGATTGTTGAATAGTTTTCCATAATCGTGCCGACATGTCTATACCCGGATCCATATACCGGGTACCTGTATATTGTGATTAAAACATTATTATATAAACTTAGTCATATATAGCTAAATTTTCTCCTATAAAATCTTTGATAGATGATATTAATATACTTTTATAAGTAGAATTCTTTCCGAATTCATTATTAGTAAGAATATCAATAGATATGAGATGTTGAGGAAATTTCTTAATATAATCTATAAAACACCTAAGAATATTATACTTTAACTTTCATCTTATTAAAGACATTTTCAGAAAATTCTCTTGATTTTCAACTTCGGAAAATTATTTTCCAAAGGCAGCTTTGGGAATGATTATCCGAGCAAATTTCAATCCGGCAATCAGAGATTTCCAAGTTTGAGGGATTCCGGCTAATGGAGATATTACTTATTAGTAAAGATGTTACTTATTAATACGTGTATCCTTCATATACAATACAGTACTGTACTATGTACAGTATATACAATATAGGTAAAAAATAACGTCATTCAAGCCATCTTCACGTCAAGATGCCCAATAATCTTCCACCCAACAATGGGTGACCGACACTGCATCAGGTCAGGTTAGTATAATACCCAATAATCTCCCACCCAACCTTCATCACAAGTGTTAAGACGTGATTACAGTTATGTATTACAATCAACTGAGTAAAGTGTCTGCCTACTCTAGGCTATAGATGACAAGATCTGCTGGAGTACAATATATACAGTAGTATACATTATTATGTTTACAGTATAAACAGTTTGTACAGTGGTGTTTGCATAAATAACTACAGCTCCTACAAGCAATAACACTGCTCTAGTCATGCCTGTATCATAGAGACCTTTTGTTTTTTAATATATTTATTTAACCAAACTTTTAGATAAAGTATTCAGGATTATTTTGATAAAAAAATTGTGTCTAATGAAATTAGAACTAATTTAACTGTTTCCGGTATCAACATTTCTTACATTTTTTTATAAATATAAAAGAATTGAATTCCCATCATTATATCCTATAAAAATATTTTGTTAAGGGATATCTTATTGGACACGTCTTGTAGAGAATTTATTAAGGATCATTATGGTATTAAATTCATCTCCCTATCACAACTAGCCATGCTTGAGTGAGGAGGGGGGGAACTGACCCCTGACCCCCTGAAAAGATATGACTCCCCCACTGTCAGACCACATTACCCCCCTGAGCTACACACACTGTCTTACCTCATTTCACCATTTTGCAATTTTTACACTCCACTTGGGACATGAGACAGCAAACAGCTGGGAAATCCCCACACCACCCCAGGCTCCCCCTCTGCTCTGTTAGCCAACAGTGAACCACATAATAACTGTTTATCCCCTTTATGTTTTTGACTTTGTGATAGTTAGTTTTTATTTTTTCGCATATTCTGTATGAGTAATTGTGTGCATGTAACAGCGTAAATGAAAATAAAGAAAATTATGTATATCTAGCCAAAGTTACAAGTTGAGAAATAATAACTCGGCCTCGGAGTGCATACTGGGTGGCGAGTCGCCGATTGTCAACTTCGCTGCACAAATACGTGCCAACTCCACGGATATTATTCCTTGTTATCCCTAATGATCTGTGTTTTAGGAACACACAAGAAATGGGTTGACCATGTCGGTTAGTCGATGAGCCAAGTGACCACCCACACAACACTAATTAGCCCTGAGACTCACGATACAGTCAGCACACGCACAACAACTAGATACTGTACAATCAGAGCATGTGAAACAACTGCTTCAGTTGGAGCTAGCAGACAATGTAATACAAGATTCAAATGAACCCAACACTAAACAAAAATTAAATTAAACACTAAATTGTAATGTAAATCCATCTCAATGGGAATGACTGTGTTTGTCTTTGTGGTTTAAATTTTGTAACTCACAATTGAAGGGGATGTCAGTGGGCATCAAAACTGTAGTTTTAATGTTTGTTTATTAGATGACATATTAGATGATGTATGACCATATACTGTACTTACGTTTTTTGTTGATGTCATCAAGAAACTTCCTGTTCCACATGTTCATTTTACTGGTGTCTGCCCAAGAATATTGAAAGTTGAATCCAATATACAAATAATGCAGATGATCCAGCATCTGATGCTACGACGCAGGTACAGTATTCCTGTTTAAAGAAATCACAGTTATAAGAGATGTCCCACAAAATTAACCTACACTAGATAAAAGAATCTCAGAATATCAAATACTGTACATCATTCTTGTCAGCTGACACGCTAATTTCATCATGAGAATGTTCCTATCCTTGTACTCTACCAATTTCTCCTATCACTTCCCCCTTTTCTTTATAGTTTCTATACTCCTCGATCCACCCCACATAAAGGTGGTTAAGGAGTTAGGATACTTGAGTGAGAGAAAGAACCACAAGGTCTTTGCACAATATTTGGAGGCTTCAATGCTAGTTTTACCAGACTGACTGACAGAGAGAAAACAGAACAGTATTTTTGGTTATAACTTACCCTTGTGTCCGTGGATCATCCCACCAAGTTGTTCTGCTGCGGGTGATTAATAAAGTAAATTCTACCGTTTGGCTCCTGCCATTTTACCCAACCCTGTAGACAACAAAAGAGAAATAATGGTTAATTATGTCTCATTCTTTACATACCATATATACTGTATAATGTAAACCTAAACTAAACACGTTCCCAGAGTTAGTTTTACCATTACAGTGATATCCCCATCAGCCAGAACAATTGGTGCAGAGCACTTTTGGGAATGAGAGATATCCGGGTAACGAGACAACTCTCTCAAGGATGGAAAAAATCCCAGGTAACAGAAAAATTTCTTTCGTAGTTCAAAAGATGTTACCGTAATCGCTTTTCGAATGGTTTTCAGTTAAAAAACTGGTACATCACAAGTGAATTAGGATAGAATATTATTGTAATACAACAGTTTTTCAACTGAAAACCATTCGAAAAGTGATTATGGTAACATCTTTTGAACTACGAAAGAAAGCGAAAGTCACTATTTTCGTCACGCTTTTATCCCACTTTCCACTGTAATACGTACATCATTTCAGCAAAAATATTACATTTCCATGTTCTCAGAAATAAATGGTAGTTTTGTTGAAACGTAATGTACAGTATTTAATATTAAAATGCAAAAATACCTATAAAAACAATTAATACACCCGTAATGTACTGGCTGGCATCTCCACTCGTCCCTGCTCCCGCCAGTCACCTCCTCCCAACTCTATCCCTCCGCCTCCTCCACATCGTCACTATTGTTGTATTACAATAATAGTCTATCCTAATTCACTTGAATAAATACTACAATACCATATTTCTGAATATTTTCATTAAAATCCATCAAAATCATTTCCTTGTCATCGTCTTCAACACCAAACAGCTCCTCCCAGTCTTCTCCTTGAACAGGGCTAGAGGGTACGTGTTTTTCGAATCGTTTTCAGTTAAAAAATGTTACATCACACGTATATTTTACCTAAACTGCACCTGAATGAATATATTCTCAGAAATAAATAGTAGTTTTGCTGAAATGTGATGTATTTCAATGTAAAATAGGATAAAATACATGACGAAAAGAAGACTTTACCTAACCTTCCGATGTTCAAGAGATGTTACTCGTTTTTATAATAGTTTTCGGTTAAAATACTGTTATATTACAATGATATTCTATTCATACTGTGCTTGATATACTACATTCACGGAAATAAAATATTTTTGCTGAAATGACGTACGTATTCCAGTGGAAAGTGGGATAAAATCGTGACGAAAACAATGACTTTTGCTTTCTTTTGTTCAAAAGATGTTACCGTAATCGCTTTTCGAATGATTTTCAGTTAAAAAACCTATTGCATCACAAGTGAATTAGGATAGAATATTATTGTAATACAAAAGTTTTTTAACTGAAAACCATTTGAAAAGCGATTACGGTAACATCTTTTGAACGAAAGAAAGCGAAAGTCATTGCTTTTGTCACTTTCCACTGTATTACGTACGTTCATTTCAGCAAAAATATTACATTTCCATATTCTCAGAAATAAATAGTTGTTTTGCTGAAATGTAATGTATTTCAATGTAAATTAGGATAAACTACATGAAAACAAAAGACTTTACCTAACCTTCCGATGTTCAAGATATGTTACTCGTTTTTTTAATAGTTTTCGGTTAAAATACTGTTATACAGTACTAGTGATATTCTATTCATACTGTGCTTGATATAATACATTCACGGAAATGTAGTATTTTTGCAACTACAATGCTGATGTCAACACAAGCGTGGTTACAGCGAGACTGACTGAGTGAGGGAGAGCTATGTGTGTGTGTGTGTGTGTGTGTGTGAAGTTGCGGGAGCGGGCGGTGTCCCGTGTTTGGTGCCGCGCGCGGGTTGAAATTGCACGCGATTTGAATGTACTTCAATTACTTCATTGTACAGAATATTCCTCCGGCGGGGCAATCCGCGTATTTGCAAATCCGTGTATGCTAAACCCGCGTATGTCAAGGGCCGACTGTAATGAAACCATAAAATGTGTGGAAAAATCAATACAATACTCTAATGTGGCTGAGAAAGAAAATAATATAAAGCTATAAAAATGAAAAGAAAAATGAAGAGTCTGTGGGTGCATGTTTGTGAAGTGAACATATTATATGAGGCAGTGGGCTGTAACTGCAATGCGAGCCCAGGAGCCGTGCTCCCTGCCTCCTGCCCCTAATATGACATCAAGGCAATACACAGTGAAATGCAGCAGCAGCCACACATCTCTGAGACAGCTGGGCAACTGCCAGGCTGAACTAAGTCACATAGCCCAGAGGATGATTGGAGTGTGGAAGGAGCCATTTTTTTTACATAAAATTTGTGCTATTGTGTTTTATGATGTGATATGTCTCAATTTTATTCTTCATCATAGCAATGGTTGTTCATTATTAACATGCAAGTTGAAATTTGTTTGACTTAAGCTCACCTTGTGCGGACTAAATCATTTAACTCTGAACCACATCCCTTGTATAGAAGTTTGGTGTTAATCAATCAAGAGTTTAACTTGGAAACCATTTGACAAACTTGTTAATTATTATTAAGGAGTACCGTACAGTGCTGTACTCAGTGTTACCGTTAGGTTTTTCAGGAACACAACCCCATCATTAAACAACTAAAAGAAAATCAGATTTAAGATGGTATAGAATCTAATCTTCCATCTTTCCACACAACATGAACTCATCAACATTGATCACACTCACCTCAATTTTATATTTGTTTAATGCACTTCAGTTCCCACACTTGGCAGTAGGGCGATCACTTTCTCATCTTCAGATATGCTTGCCTGCAGTCAGTTACAGCACCTGTCATGAACCTTCTGCATCACAGGGATAATACTCGTACATGGTTGGGCATCTCTTCACTTGTAAAAGACCTGACTCTGATGAAGCAAGAAAATCAATTTATTTTTATGTGTTATTACGGGGTTATCATTATGGTAGTAAACCATTGTCATGTATAACAACCAAGTAGATAACATTAGTATAGCTGTTGCACCAAAGTTATTAAAACCTGCACCATCAATTACAACTATTAAGGCATTTTCATTCAACCGAGCTGTTAGTTATGAGAATATGGCAGCAGTAACAAGTACAGTACTTCAACATTACAGTAATTTTAAAATCTGTATTACAAGGCCAATGTGCAGTACCATGAACATTACCTACCTTTTTGAAGATACATTGTAATCCATGCCAGAGACCTGGTGGCCTTGAAATTCCTAAACGGCAACTACACTGGGCTCATACCTCACTACCCTCAATGGTAGAATATCTGGTGCAAATAACAGTGCCTGTTTCAAAGTTCTAATACATTCTCTTCTATCATGGTTGTAACTAAAACAAAATGCATGGATAAGTTTTAAAAGCGAATAAAAGCCATTTTTTAAGTTATTTACCCATGATAACATATTCGAGGGGAAAGCTTCACCTTCACACTTTGGTAAGATGAGGGAGGGATGCACCCAGCAAAGTTGCCAGTCAGTTATTTCAAGGCCGCCAGTCTGTGTGGCTTATAAACGGCATGGACTGTACGAGTTTGCTCATGCTTAGAAATGCATCAACAGTTGTTGTTCCTGCACACTACTTCAACTACTTTGCCACTACAGTACAGTTGGGTCTTCATTTACGCGGTCAATTGAACCTGCGGAGTACCGCGTAAAACGAGAAATGCGTAAATGAAATAACAGAACATATGGGATTAATTGAAATAGAGACTGGGCCAACTCCCAAACTCCACTTTTTCTGACACAATATGTACCTTGTAGTCAAAATAACCTCTTAATTTTATGATGGTGTGCACACACAATTAATAATTAAGAGATATATCAACAATATTAGGTTTTTTAACACTTACATTAGTAGAAAAGATGGCTGGGCACACGGGGATGAGGGGGTTGGTTCCGAGATATAGGGCAGATTATTGGCCCTCACCTGTATCACTTTTATCAATTGTATCACTATCCACTACAGGGGCTTGCAAGGCCTCTTTGTCAAACCCCTCAAAGTCCATATCCTCACTATCACTGAATTGGGCCGGCTGTGGTGGGTGGCGGGTGAAGAACTCGGTAATGTTTTTATGACTGGGCGATCTTGTGCACACCCTGCCGCCCCGCTTCCTGCGTAAATCAAGCATTTCAATGACAAAACGAGTAAACCAAAACCGCGTAAATCCAGACTCAACTGTATAAGGAATTTGCCATGAAGACATTCATGTATCCACTGTTCTTTATCAAAATAGCCCATGCAATATCTAACACCAAAACAACAATACTTTCCACTACAGTAACTGTACAATGAGGGTACAAGCTCACTCCCTCCCAAAATGAAGCAATCAACCACAAATTAATATACACCAACTGCACCAGATGACAGTCAGGGGAAGTAAGTTTGGAGACTCATTTTCTCAGCAAACTTTCATTCACAACTACATCTCAACCAACCACATACAGTACTGCACTTCAGACAATAGTACAGTACTATACTGTACATTTATTTGACTAGGATCAATTCCAATAATTACTTCTCAAGCTTGATAACATTAACAGTAAGCTGTTCATTACTAGAAGCTTCCCATTTAATCCATGTTAGGCATTTCAAGCCAATTCCAGCCTCCCAATACTGCACACATTCCCTTCAATACTTTACTGCTTGTGGAGTCAGCCACTTTCCTACCACTCCTTACCTTTGTTTCTGCTCCCACACTAACATGTGAAGACTACCTCAAAACATTTCTTAATCCAATCCCCATATCCAATACCAAGAGAATTTGTCGGCCACCTTACACCAATTCTGTTTCCACGAAATCAACACCACATTCCTCGATTAACACAATAGATGCATTCCTAAAAAATTAACACGTTAAGTTAATATTAAAGGCAGTGGAGAGCATTTAAGAAATATGATAATTTATAGTCCAACTAATATTAGTGTACAGTATGGGCTGTCCTCACTTAAACCCAGGGTTGCATTCCTTGAAAATGTGGGGACAAGCAAAATTAATGTTCCCACAAGAATTACTGGAAATAGGGGGTTTAGTCCTTGGTAATTTTTATTGCCAAAGCAAGTCATTCTATACATGCCAGTGTTAAGTTCTACCACCACAAAACATCCTACACATTTAAAGTAATTATTTTTTCACTGTAGTAATTAAATGAACTAGCTACCTCCACCTTAGTTCATGTCCATTTGTAAAGCCAGGTACAGGTATCCTCATTTAGTATTTTTTTTTAGCAATGACCTCGAGTTGAGGATTTTTGTAGAATCCTAAACACGGCTTGAAAATTATATAAGACTCCCAATACACACACTAAAGCCATGTTCAGGCATTTGTAAGGTTGGGTGCTAAAAAAAATCCAATTTAATGCTTGAAAAGGACCTAAACATTAGAAGACCTATTATATTAGAATAAATTAGGCTTCCTTTTTTTTAACTTGCCCATTGGGATATCTGAAGGCCTTATATCATTGTTAAAATGACAAACTACCTCAGAAAGGCAACCATGTAGCTGTAGGGGCCTAATACATCAGCTGCCCTATAAACAATGCTTCTGTGCTAATTTAAACAAGGACACCCTGTACTTTGTGCGAATTCATACAAAGACATTGTGCAATTCAATGCCATTTCATTCAAAGGCACCCAGTACTATGCACTAATTTATACAAGGACACCCTATACTTTGTGATAGCATACTGTGTGCATATAAAATAAAATAAGTCCATTTAAATTCAAAATCCCAAAACTAAGTGTTCTGCTCAGAATCCAGCCAAAGATTTATGGTATTGCCCACTGCACTGCTGTCACCCACCCATTCCTATACAGATTAGCAGCACTTCTCAGGTTTTTGACATTTAATATTAAAAGATATACAGTTCACAAATGCCTCTTCTTTCTGGTTCCATAGCTCACCCAAGTCAATTACTTCCATTCTCAACAAACTAAATATTTCCTTTGCTTTGTAGTCACTTTGCAATATAGTAAAGGAATGCCAATTGTAAATTATTAAAGAGTAAAATTTGCGAGTCAAAACAATTGCTAGGTGACTGAGAATGCGAGCACTCGCTTGTTAAACCAGAAATAACTTGTTTTGTTAAAAGTTCCACAACTGGTGAAGTAAAAACTTTTGTGGTGCTCAAGTGTTAACCAAGGAATACCTGACAATTTCAACAGCCAGTATCATATTCCACTTCATGCCCATGTTTCATTACTGGTAATTACTCCAATATGATCAGCCATGGAAGCAAAGTTTGGAAATGAAACCAAACAAAAACTCTGCCTTTTATTAGCTTAGTACAAACGCTGGGGTTTCCCCATGGTTGACTTAATATGAAGGGACCTCACATTCTGCCAGTGCTTTTTAAGGAGAGACACAAGGAAATTCATTGCAAGGTAGATGTTCTGAACCAATTCATCAGCAGTCATATGCACGTGGCCAATGGCGACTGATAGACACAACACCTGTGGGAAGAGTAAGATGTAAGGATTAGTGTGCAGTGTGAAGGCGATTCATGCAACACTTACGATATCCTCCGTAACAATTGTTTCAATGACTCGACCTCATAATATTCACGTAGCAGAAAATAGGCCATATCCAAATGGACAGTATTTTCTGCTCAAGACCCTTGATATTGTGGTTAAATTACTTCAGCAATTATTCACCCTAGCAATATTTATGCCATTTTAAAAATAAACAAGTCCTGAAAATTGTCACAACAGTCATTAAACAAACACCAAACCAGGGTGACAAAATTACATACCTTCTTCATCTGGAACTTGATTGTGGCCTTAATCTCATCCACCTTGTCAGACAACTTCTCAGAATGAGTGCACATGGTGGGGAACTTGCCTGCCTTGTTCAAGCCAGGACCCAACAAACGGGGAATTTGCTTAATCAAGGCATCAGATGCAATAAATGCATCATATTTCTTGGCTGTGGAATAAATAAAACTTAGTAACATAGCCAGTGCAGAACCATAACAACAGTTAACAAAAATTTTCAGAGTGAGCTGAGAAATAACATCAAGCTGATCAGAAACTTAAAATCATCACTGAACGAGAGAGACTTTCCTCCCTCATAATAATACTCACAAACTCCAGTTCCCCGTTCCATTTTTTTTTCAAGTGAGCTTGACACTTTACCCCCAAAAAGGCAATGCATATGATTGGCAACCACACTCCTTGGCCAAAACTAGCCAAGGAGTAAATAGACCTATATTAGTACACATCAATCGGTATGGCAACCAGTCTGATAATTTTCTTCCTGGTTGTTCAGTTGGTTACTGTTTTAAAGTATGTACAGATCAACCAAAAAACTAAAAATACATTTTGCATAATTTCAGTTATGAGATTGCCGACACTTGACTCGATCCTTTATTGACATCCTAAATTCCTGCCACTGTCGCCAACACTTGTTCCTCTTTAAACTGCTCTATTCAATGTCTTCAACAAGTGACAGTACTGAGTAACACTGCTCAAAATGGCAAGTATAAAAGGGGAAAACTAGGTATAAAAAAGTTGGTGAACAATGTGTGACCCATAAGATTTAAGAATCATGAATGTATGAATCAATTGGAGAGAAAACATTAGAATTTTTAAGCTGTTAAGTCAGTGTATTCCATAGCTAAAAACAAAAAAAAAGCACCAGTTTGGATAAAGTGCAATACAAATGATTCACGCAACAAGAGCGCAGCCATTTCTGGACCCACACTGGTTAAGTGAGTCATGATAAACCGAAATTCCATGCCAATGTGACTTCACTGAGCTGGCACCAAAAGCTTAAAAACTTTAAGCTATAAATAACTAGCACATGAAATTAAAGACGAGATAACTTAATTTTCCACAGCTACTGCAGGAAAAAATTATGAAATGGAACAATCAGCCACGTGACTGTGGTGGTAGTTACATACCTTTGTTAAATGAGCGAGAAGTTATAGGTATACAGTATGGCACTTATCAGTGATAAAACCCTCTTGTGTATTAATATTGTGTTGGGGAACAATGAAAGTACAGTAGTTACTTTACAGGTACTGTATCTACAGAAACTTGTACAGTCGACCCTCGTTAATTCGGACCCCTTTAATCCGGATTTCGGATAATTCAGACTAAATCTGATCATTTTTTTTTTTTAGATTTGTAGGATTATTACCTACGCGGACTTTAACCTAAAATGCTGGTCCACCCACTGCTGGGATAAAACGCCAGCGTCTTTTTGGTTAAATGTAACATCACCACTAGTGTGGGGGGGGGAGATGCAACTTTTAGCTTCAGACATGAAAAATATTAACCATTTACTGCCAGTAAACAATAAAAACATAAAATATGTACCAATTAGTAATGAAAAGTTGTGCAGTTCCTTCAGCAAATGAAGCTCACCAACTTACAATAGACTAAATTACCTCACAACGTGTTTTCAGTAGTCTACGTTGAAGTTCTTAGCACAGGCTAACTTATCATATCATATACGGTATCACAGTTCTCAATGATTTACAAAAAATACCGGTAATAAAAACCTTTTCGATATTTCACACTTAATATAATACCCGGTAATCTACTTCAACCTCCTATTGTTTACAATGACACATGACGCACCACCAGCTGTTGAGTATCGGCTAGACGGTACACGTGTTTTTCGAATCATTTTCAGTTAAAAAACTGTTACATCACACGTATATTTTACCTAAACTGCGCCTGAATGAATATATTCTCGGAAATAAATAGTAGTTTTGCTGAAACGTGATGTATTTTAATGTAAAATAGGATAAAATATGTGACGAAAACAAAAGATTTTACCTAACCTTCCGATGTTCAAGAGAAGTTACTCGTTTTTTTAATAGTTTTTGGTTAAAATACTGTTATATTACAATGGTATTCTATTCATACTGTGCTTGATATAATGCATTCACGGAAATGTAATATTTTTGCTGAAATGACGTACGTATTAGTGGAAAGTGGGATAAAATCGTGACGAAAAACAATGACTGAAATATAATGCAATATTAACCCATTAATCGGTTAATTCGGACAATTGGCTAAAACGGACACCCGTCCCCCCTATTAGTCCGAATTAACGAGGGTCGACTATAATGTAAATAAGCATTATGGTTTATTGAACGCACTTCTGATAGATGTTGAGTAGCTAAAACAACTATCTGTGCTTACTTTGTGGGAAATAATGCGAGACCATGAACGATAAATTTTGGTACACGAGGGCTGTCACTAATCAAACGTAAAATTTTGGAGCATATGGACCCCCACCTGCACAGACAGTTGTTTTAGCTACTGTACATAATAGTACAGCATTGATTAAGTAATTATTCACTTGACAGAAGCCTCCTGGTCCTGAACCTTTCAGTTGAGTTAAACAAGTTATACAGGTGCTCCACTACTTACCAACAAATCTATCCATGGGTCATTTATGGTGAATGATAACTACCCAGTACTGCACATGCTCACAGTTGGACTCTGCCTACTATATCCCTAGTTTCTTCCTGCGCTATATTAAGAGCACACCCTCATTCACTACAGAGTATAAACGCTGCTTTAAATCTACAAATACCTGATGCAATAACAATTTACAGAATTTTCTTTTCATTTGCATCTACAGTATTAACATCACTGGTGGCATCGCTGACAAGTTACTCATCACTCGCCACACTTACCCACCCCTCTCCCTGCCAGGCCACAATTTCAGGTCGATATATTTTCATTTTGTTTACTGTTACATGTGCACTTAATCCCTCATGCACAATGTGCAAAAAAAGTTAAAAGAAATAACCATGACAAAGGAAATAATTTATTTTTGTGCAAGTTGGCAGACTTTAGAGGCTTATACTGTAGGGGATTACCCCAGTCCAATCCTCGGTATAACAGAAGCCAGTTTTGTGGCAAGTCATGATGTAATAAAATAAAGAAAGCGTTTCACTGATGGTGAATAATGAAACTTTTATTAAAACATCAGACCATCTGTTCGGTGACTAAAAAGCTACATTGGCACTTCAAGAATGGACAGAACTGCTTATCTTAAAAAAATAAGATGAGATTGTGTTTGAAGTGCACAAGAAATTACCAAACACCTACAGACACAAAGATATGCATTCAGGATTCTTGTTCGTCTTCAAAACTACTTACCTGTGAGCACATTTTCTCTAGTGTGAACTTCATAAAAGCAAACTACAAAGCCTAATGAATGATCAAAACTTAAAATCTTGTTTCAAACTTAAGACAACAGCTTACTTTCCAAATAGTATTGAGTGCCCAAGAAACAAAGAAGCAGAAATTGCATTAAACCAACTAAGGTTAATAAGTTAGTTCTGTTAATATGGATTCACACTAGCATTTTTATTCTAAGTTATCAGAATATGTTTGTGAATACAAAATACTATTTTTATGACTGCTATTGCTATTATAATTATTTTGCACAAGAAATAATAAATGGAATTTTCTATGTTTGTAGGTATCGAAGTAGAAGTTTCACTCTGTACGCTGTTTTGCAATTTACCTTTCTTTTAGTGGCTCAAGTAGCACCACTTTTTCTACCACTAGAAGAAATTGGTTCTTCTCAGAGTATGGAAGCAGCCAAATTGTTAAATAACATAAGATATGTTCGAGTTTGCTTCAGCATTTTGACTTATCATGTAGGCCAGTATGCATTTTTTTTTAAATATTCATAACTTGTTTGATAACCAAGAGTAAAGCTGGAGTTACACAAACAAGCCTCGGGAACATAATTGGTTCACAAGTTGAGGATACTGAAAACATTTGTTAAAACTTGTAACGGATATCCACTTCATTATTTTAAGGTACACTATAAATGTTTTACTTCAACAGGCACGCGTATCAACTCACCTAGCTTCTTAACAAGTTTCTTGTCCTTGTTCAGCTTCTTGAGATCATCAGCAGACATACAGGGCATATCATTTTCATTTGCTTCATCAATGTGCATCTGGTCACCAAGAACACAAACCTTCATCTTAGGCTTGGGAATGTGCTTCAACCTATTTATAAAATTAAGGATATATTAGTCAAAGTATCTACTATTAACATTAACTGGCCAGAATGAACAGGAAACTCTCCAGTACAATATCCCCATTTCAATACTTCATACACGCAGATATAATTTACTACTGTACCTATTTTTTTTATTTTCCCTCGTTAAGTCACCAATATCATTCTAAATCTTAACACAGTACAGTACTGTACTTTCTGCAAACTTAAAAGATTAAAATATTGTACTGGCAAACTCCTCAACACAGCTAGTGGATGAAACTCACTCACGTCTCCAAGTATAAACACCTCTACCTTGGGACAGTGGAGTCTCGATAATACCCCCGGTACTGAACACTCCGGTTGATAGGTGTGATTGAGAGATTTCCTACCTATTATGGTCAGCCTAATTTAGTCTTCATTCAAAATAAAAAATTTGTTTGTTGCAATATGATTAGTGAATAACTATGCCTCATGGGCCTTCAAAAACCTTCATCATGGTGTAGTTTTGTCTCACACAAGAATTGTAAAGATACTTTTTTACCGAGTGTACCTATTAATGCTGTACCCCCTTTAAATTTTGCGAACAAATATTCGAAGCAGAGTGCCAGCTGCCATTGTTTATTTAAATAAACTGTAAAAGTTGAGAAAATATCATTTGGAAATATATAAAACTAAAAATAAGAAAAGAAAGGTGGTGAGTGAATTGGGTGTGGGAGATACAGTGGCTGTTGGTGCTCTGCTCCCCTCCTCCCTCACCACATTTTATAATTTCACCCTAATTCCCATACTATTTAGGTTCATTTGGTACCAGGTTAATAAAAACTTTAAATGTAAATATATTTTCACCCCGGGGGATGGGAGGGGGGGGGTACATTCAACTTCAGGAGCTATTGTGAGAGTTCAGGTATTAAATTCCAGGGCTTATTTAATCAACAAAATGTAGTCACATCCAGCCTGGCACATACCTCAACGGTGTATTGACATAACTCGCCCAACATTTTGAGACGGGAAGGAGCTGTCCATGTAATATACAGTATACTGTACTGGGTATCTACTACAGTATTTGTACAATACCCATGTTACTTTTTTTATGCATTATGTACAATGTTTAGTGTTAATTAAAGTAGTTTTGGAACAGTTTTGGGATATTTTTGGCCTCCTAGAACAAACTAATTAAGACGCACCCTGGTTTATGTTAAGGTTCTGTTCCTGGACCTCATTCATAAGCCAAATTTTCTGTAAACTAAAAATGATCCTTCCATAAGGTAAGTATGTACTGTACCACAGGTGGCGTCTCACAAGGGGATGCCCTCAGCCACTTTACGCATAAATCTCTGCAAATAGTGTTACGCCATACTAGTTACCTTTCATAATAAAACTTGTGCAACCCAAAAAATTCTACAAGGAGACTTATGTGAGGCATTCTGTATCCTCAAATTTATGTAAACCAAGAGTTTTTTAACCCCAGGAGTGTCTCTACTCCCATTTAATTCAAACTATATTTCATAGTCTTCTGGCACCTAACTGTACTGTACTCCATTGATGAAGCAGTTATGAACCAGACATGGATTAAGGTGTCCCTTGTTTAACGATGGGGGTTGCATCTTTGAAAAACCTATTGCCGAGTGTACAGTAAAGCATGGAGGGCAAACAACGGGTTCAAATGGCAGAGCAGTAAACACCGAATACAGTATTGTATGTAATTGTTATAAACAGTTATAAGTTAAACAAGTGATTTACTAACACCAAACTTCTACATTAATGATGTGGTTAAGAGTTTACTGTTTTGTGAACAAAAGGGAAGCTTAACTCTCACAAATTTCAAATTACTGTTCATGTCAAAAATGAAGAAAAAATTTATGATAAATAAAACTGATACAGAGCACATAAAATACAACAGCACATATTTATGTACCAAATATGGCCCCTTCCACACTGAAACCATCAACTGGGTGACATGACAGTTCAACTGACTCGAGATGTCTGGCTACTGCCGCACTGTGTGCATGACATGACGTCACATTAGGGAGTGAGCACAGGTGGGCTTACGATAATACAGCCCACCATTTCCATAAATACGTTCACTTCAAACAAACCCGTGCTCTTCATTTTTCTTCTTTTATAGTCTTATATATATATTTTTTTTTTCTAAGCCACTTTAGAATATTGTAATGCTTTTTCCACAACTTTTACGGTTTCATTACCTGTAACAATGGCAATTGCCATCTTAGCTTATTGGCTGGTGGACAGACAAGTGAGCAGTTACTACAGTTCTTTATTAGTTGTTCTTTTGTACAGACAGTATTTATATTCTGATATTTCAAGGGATAAAAACTTGTGTTGATTTGATAGTTTTCACACTTGGGAAGCAAAAATTATCATGTGAAATACAATGGTAATAAAATTATAAAGAAACATCCATGAACAAGTTGTGGCATAAACAAGGTGGCCCAAAAGGGTAAGACTGTCACTCAGTGTCACCTTTTTCTTGTTCCTTACATTTGTTACCAGTACATTTCACAAGCTATTTTTTGGCTTCCCCAAGTGTGCAAACCATCAGATGAACACAAAAGCTAATACAGTATCACTCAAAATAGTATTATAGAAATAAGGTAAATACAGAAGAACTTCACTTTCTGCCTGTCATTCCACCAGCCAATCACTCCCCTTGCTGCAAATTGACTCTAGGCTTCAGTTGCAATGTTCTCCCCTTATTTAGGAGTATAAAGAATTAAGTGAAGTACACATGCCTGAAGTACCATGCAAAATGATATAAACAAAAAAATATTCTACTACAATGCCAAAATATGGGTGATTAAAACAAAAAAATTTACCTACTGTACTATATTAGCTGATTAAAGTATTTTTTTTTCTTATAAAATACCAAGAGCCATTGCTTAGCCCAATATTTTGGTGCTTCAATTAAATGAATTCTAAGGTCTTAGAAACAACAACATCCCTTATAAATGAATGAAATAGCGGAATATTTATTTTTAGTGCGCCACAACAGACAAGGACATATAGTACTGGAGATAATTAATGGTAAAAGGTTAAACTAAAATCAAAATGATGGAAAAGAAAAACCCAGAAAGAAAGACAACCTAAATGGAAATGACAAGAATAAAGAAACCTATAAACGATATATTTCAGCCTCCTATTACCCCCCCCTCCCTCCCCGGCAGCACGACTACTCCCCCCTGGCACCTGGAGAGGTGTCTGCTGCTGGTTCTTCAGACTGGGACACTACCAAAACCATTAAAAAGTTCCAATGTTTCATCAATTTCAATACCTCTCCGTGTACACCTGCAACAGAGTTCTCGGACACCATGCGTCTTACAATACTGCCTGACAAAACCAACGAGAAATCTGAAAATCGTTCTCAGAGTCTTACTGCAAATTAGATTTTCTTTTCGCCTGTAAACACTATAAAAACAAGCAACAAATATATTTACAAGTCACTTCACAACCAAGCTTACCATTCATTCTGAGATGACTCGAACCCTTGTGCTCATTCTGAAATTTACTGTGATCAGCTGTTCGAGAACTCTGTGGCGAGCGTACAATGAGAAAAGCGCCTACTACAGTAATGCCTGGTATACCTACCATCATCCCTGCACACCAGTCTTCAGGCACCTATCACCAATTAAGGCTAGCGGCAAGTTTCCTTGCCTCCCCAATTATTTTAAGACCCTGGGTAAAGGTCCGCCAAGGGTGACCTCAGCTCCCTATACCTTGCCATGGTGCAACAGGGCAGACCATCACACTTGCCACTACAACATGACAAACCCAAATAGCTACAACACTAAACTTACGAAAACTCATATTTTAGTTTTAATTAATTATTCATCTGACTACAGTAGTTTTTCAGTTTAAGCTCTCAGATTTAGTTGAGAAATCTTGTCAACATCAATCAAATGTTAGCTGTAAATTTGATCTTACTTCAGGAAAGCATCAATATTTTGGATACAATTGATTTCCAAGTTATTGCAGCACAAATTTTGCATTAATATTTGGTCTTTTTATATTAGTGCACCGTTCCATCTCTCGGCGGTAGAAATATTTTTCCGAATGTTTAGACAATTCAGACATTTTTCTTCTTTGATATTTGTCGGAAATTAAGGTTAAGTTAGGCTGTTTTTTGGTGATTTTCTGGGGGGTTTTCACAGAAAAAGGGGTAAGTTAAGTTAGGTTATTTCTTTTGGTATTAGAAATATCAAAAGAAAAATGTCTTGGAATTGTCTAAACATTTCTAACACCAGGAGATAGAACTGTGCACTAATACATACTGACAGAATGGTGCACTACTATAAAGTGACCTAATATTTTATGAATGCAGTGAAATTCAATTCTAACATTATTAAAATAAATTTAAATTGCAGTTCATTAAAACTTCCTTTATACCTACAAGAGCAACCTCTGGGTTTGACAAGTCATGGTACAAGTCCTCAGCCTTGGCTCTGGCAGCCCTACATGTACCACTGGGGGTTAGGTCAACACTCACTTAACAGTGCCACTGAATCGCTTGTCCTTCTGGGGGTCATAGTTCTTCAAGCCAACCTGCAGCTCCACAGTTTCCCGAAAGTGGCGTTTCTTGTCCTTGGAGCCCTGCAGTGTGGCATTCACACACTCGTACAAGGTGTCGCGGCTCACCTTGCTGCGGGAGGTACAAATAGGTCATCATTAAAACGTCATTTAACAAGCTATAAATGTATTCTACAACCAATCTACCAAATTATTTCAAAAAGTGGTAAAAATGTTCTCCATACAAGTACAGTATTCAGAATGTGCATTATACTTTCATTTGCTTGATATTCATTTCTAGGTAAAGGTGCAGAATGAGGGCATATTTCTCAAGCTTTGAAGAAGTTAGGTTAGAAAAATCTTGTAACCTAATATACGAGTCTCTAGGTTTGGGTTTTTCTATTTTAGGGGGTTAGGATTGGATAAAAAATGATTCCTCCAATGTTTGGCTTGTTCTTGAAAGAAAAGTTTTCTTCTATTGAGAAGTTTCTTGAGCATCAACCCACATACATTTTTAAGTATCTACCTTTTTCATTTTAGTTTTCAATAAGTTAGATAAGGTTAGGTTAAGCTGCGGTCACTAGCATATCTACCCAGACTAAATCCACCACAGCGTTGAATTTTCAACGAACTCCTCAAGTTGTCTCTACAGCGAAAATTTATTTGTCGAAATTGGGATGATACAGACTGTTTTAAAATGCACGATACGATGCGTTGACATTTGCTAGTCTATTGCATTAATAAAACTTAGTTCTTATTTTTTCTCATTAACGTTAAAATGTACAAAAAATAGTGATTTCAATAACAAAACACAAGCAAAAATATCAGTGAAATAAAAAAATGGTAAAGGTTTATGAAAGGAAATGTGCGATTTGGTTTAAATTTTTTCTACACACTATTAGCGCATTAAGCAGAAATGGATACGACAATGCATAAAACTTAGTACATGTAGAACCTGACCCAACCGACTAGGTCAGGTTCTGCTAATTATCGTGTTCATTTATGCATTTAATATTATGCCAATAGTGTACAAAATATTTAAACCAACGAAAGTAAAGAACCAAGGAAACCCCACCTAACGATTGTCATGAGATGCTGTAAAAAAATATATACAGTGAATATAAAGAGAACAGAATGCATTTAGTAAGTAAACAAAAGAATAAACCGGTATAGTATACGTAATTCTAAACTTAAGAAAGATGTGTAGTAATTATTTTATTAAAAGGATAAGAAGTAATGGAACGCAATTTACACAGATCTTAGAGGAAGGAGCAATGGCGGCGGCAGGGGAATTGTGAAAGCGGACTGACTTAGGTTAAGAAAATGATTCTGGCATTTGAAGAGCACCCAGTCATGTAATTTTAATACCACAACATCAGTGTTTGGTGTGTTTTTACCTCGTAATTTCCCTCATCTTGTATGCCCTGCCCACTAACAATTTAAGATTATAGGAGAGTAAATTAAAAAATTACCCAAAAATACTTATTATAATAGAAGTTGTCGTTTCTTTTAATATACTTAAAATCATCAAAACTTATAGAAAAAATTAAGAAAAACAACTTCTGGTGGTAGCGCTTTTGTAAACCTTTACCATAAAAGTAAGAATACATCAAGACGGGAACTTCATTTGTCTCGAGTAGGGTCACTTTTGTAAACAAACATCGGCAGGACTCTGCAATTGTTTCATTTTTGTCTTGGTCTTCATTAACAGGACCAAATATCTCACTAAAGCAGTTAATGCTGCCATAGAAACATACAATGAAGCCACCCCGCTCCCCAACCGAGCCCCGCAAGCCAAGCACCTGGCCGATGGCTCCTCTCGCCAGTGTGCGGATCGTACCGTTGACTTATTGCCTGTGGATGAAATCCTATCGTGGATTTAAAACTCGAGTGACCACAGCTTCAGATTGTTAATTGTGAACCAAGAGAATAGCAAACGAGGACCGGCAGTAACTACAGTATTCATGTAAAGCAATGTAGTGATCACCACTTATGTTATACTGTACTGTACTGTATTCAAGATGTATTCCTTGTGCACTAATTTCATTTCCACAAAGAATGAAACTCCTATCTTAAGAAAAAATTCCCCAGGTATTGTATGTGCTTAGGGCATGGAACGATCATAGGTTGGATGCTTATATGAGCAATAGGGGTCGGGTGTAAACGGGACTGCCCAGTATGGGTCAATAGGCCCGCTGCAGTTTCCTCCATTCTTATGTTCTTATTAACTAGTCTTTTGTATAGTGTTTTTATATATAATATTTCACAATTATAAATGCCAGACACTGAATCATATGAGGTTATGAGGAAAATTTAGGGTATTTTTGCGTTTACACATTTTACATTCCTACCCCTAATCTATTATCATATTCTAATAAGACGTCTAATTATAAGATCATTTTCATCTATTTCCGATTCAGAAAGGATATAGGCAAGCACTGGTTTGGTAATAGAGTTGTGGATATGTGGAATAGGCTACCGAGTGCTATAGCAGGATCGGGGACGCTAGGGAGCTTCAAGACGAAGTTGGATAGGCACATGGAAGTGCTGGGATGGGTGTGAAAGGGATCTGCCCTGTATGGGCCAGTCGGCCTCCTGCAGTATCCCACTTTCTTATGTTCTTATATTACCGTCACAAATGTATAATAACAGAGATATCATATCCAAAATTTTCTCTATTTTCTTCCATTAATCTTCCACCATTATTGCCTACCTCACCTCTCACACTGAGTGTCCCCTTCATAAATCATAAGAACATAAGAATGGAGGAAACTGCAGCGGGCCTATTGGCCCATACTGGGCGTTCCCATACACGTCACGCGACCAATCAAAAGCGTTTTGTGGTTTGATTTGTGGTTTAATTCGCAGTATTTTTGGCCCAACCAAAATCGATTTTTATTTTGGGTCTCATATTTCTAAATTCAAATTCATTTCCCACCATAGAAGTCTGCAATGGGTGTCACTTCAATTATATGGAGCTGATTGCGAGTTTTTGGGAAAAAACAAAGAAACTATAGCATTTTTTCAGAGCAAGACTGAATGTAAATATCGCAAAGACCAACATATGTGGCGTTGTGTAATAATCTCAGAATCCAACGGCGAATTAGAACCAGCCCAATAAGGTAAGGTCAGGAGGATCTAAATAAACTGCAGGGGTGGTCTGAAAAATGGCAAATGAAATTCAACACCAGCAAGTGCAGCGTACATAATATTGGAAGAACAAATACTTATAATGTATACAGACTTAACAACATCAACCTAGAGAAGTCGACTTGTGAAAGAGACCTAGGGATACTTGTAAGCCCGGACCTACGGCCTAGAAAACAGTGCGTTAATGTTCGAAATAAGGCAAACAGAGTATTGGGTTTTATATCTAGAAGTGTAAGTAACAAGAGTGCAGAGGTCTTATTGCAACTATATCTTGCGCTAATCAGGCCGCACCTCGATTATGCGGTTCAGTTCTGGTGCCCCTATTATAGAATGGATATAAATTCACTAGAGTCGGTGCAGCGATGATTGACGAAAATGATTCCGGGACTTAGAAACCTTCCATATCAGGATAGGTTAAAGAAACTTAACTTGCATTCCCTTGAAAGACGAAGAGTGCGGGGAGATATGATAGAAGTATTTAAGTGGGTGAAAGGAATCAATAAAGGGGATATAGATAAAGTTCTTATAATATCCGAGCAGGATAGGACTCGGAGCAACGGATTTAAGTTGGATAAGTTTAGGTTTAGGAGGGAGATAGGAAGAAACTGGTTCACAAATAGGGTGGTGGACGAGTGGAACAAGCTTAGCAACTTTGTAGTAAGTGCTGGAACGCTGGAAAGTTTTAAATGGAGGCTAGATAGATTCATGGATGATAGAGAGTGGTAGTAACTCTCGACAGGAGCTGCCATGCACAGGTCAACCGGCCTATTGCAGACTCCTTATTTTCTTATGTTTCTTATGTTATGTTCTTATATACACTAGAAAAATTTATTTTTTACTTTCTAGCAGAGTGGGAGGTGGAAGAGCAAAGTTAGGTGAGCTTTGGATGAAATGAGTTAGGTTAGGTTAGGTTAGGTATAGTTCTGGGGTTCTGTGACTAGGTTGTTACATCAAAAAGGGATGACCAAAACTAAAATTTGATCTACGTGTCAATATATACACTACAGCTGTCGTATTTGGGTTAAGATCGAGTTAAGAAAATCAAAGAGAAATAATGAACTGAAGGTAGCAAGGGAGGTGAAGTCAAACCACAAGGGAGGTGAAGTCAAACCACAAGGGAGGTGAAGTCAAACCACAAGGGAGGTGAAGACAAACCACAAGGGATTATTTCAAATGTATTAAACTAAAACAGTAGTGGATGAATGGAACAAGTTACCAAATATCATCATTAACTCTCATGCTCAACACACGTGGTCTCTATTCTTAATACTCTACACATCAATAATCAATAACCAGACATAAAATAAGAGACTTAGTGTTCTTTATCAATTATATATCAAATCTATATGAGAATAAGGCCAAATACACCCATTATTGAGGTAATATTTAAGGAGTTACCTGGTCATGATGGTGCTGCTGCTGTTACTTGACGAGAAAGAACCTCACTCGGGCCTTGTGGGAAGTAACAGTAAGTAGCAGTAAGTTATCTTCCACATACTAGTTTAATATTCCACCTACGTCATCGTATAAATTTTTATTTTATTAATTATATTTAACTATAATTTTAATAGTATAAAATATCTTCATTTATAGTATTTTTTATGTGTGTTTTTTTATCGTTAAGTAAGTGGAAGAAATTCAATTTTTGGCGCATAATTTAAACACTGTCAAGGCTCCTGCTTGTTCACTTACCACATCATTTCAACGTCTATCAACTTATCAGTCAGTTTAATAGGCAGCATTTACTCACTTTTAAAAGTTGTCACAATATCTTTGTACGTACAGTGTTGGTTTACTACTTATGTCATGAGTTCACAGCTCTAACCTAAAGAAACTCGTCTGACAGTTTTCTCTCTTTAATAAATAGTGCCTAATGAGGTGTTTGTCTTAACTGTGTCTCCTCTTTTTTATATAATGTCCACTAGCACCACTTATCAATTTAAATAACCGTTTGGTGATATTGTGTCAACTTCACCAAGGACGGCTGACAAAGCCACGAGATGCTTGTTTAGTAGAGTCCTTATGCCAGCAGCATCTGGTGCTCATAGGGCCAGGCGGTCACCCATATCCAAGTATTAACCACCCCAGCGTAGCTTAACTTTGCTGATGGGATAACAAGCGGTGTTTGATTCCCACTTAATATTACTAACTGTTACATAAGAACATAAGAACATAAGGAGTCTGCAATAGGCCGGTTGGCCTGTGCATGGCAGCTACTGTCGAGAGTTACTACCACTCTCTATCATCCATGAATCTATCTAGCCTCCTTTTAAAACTTTCCAGCGTTCCAGCACTTACTACAAAGTTGGTAAGCTTGTTCCACTCGTCCACCACCCTATTTGTGAGCCAGTTCCTTCCTATCTCCCTCCTAAACCTAAACTTATCCAACTTAAATCCGTTACTCCGAGTCCTATCTTGCTCGGATATTATAAGAACTTTATCTATATCCCTTTTATTGATTCCTTTCACTGTGTTAGGACCTTCGTTGTCCAGCGTTAATACAGAAGGAAATTAAAATACCCGGAAAAAAATACGATGTTTGGGAGAGTCAAACTAGGTACAGTAACACCCTTCTCACATCTGACTCACGCCAGGGAACGAATACAGTGTTTGACGTAATTACTTAAATTGCTGCAGTGCTTCATGTGTTGACTCAGTTCCTGGAACGTGGTGGCAATATTAAAAATATATATCTAGGCTTTCCAAGGCTTTCGACAGACTACCCCACAAAAGGCTAAAAATTGAACTGGAAGAGTACAAAATTCAGGGAAGTGTTCTCGCGTGTATCTGAGACCTTCTCCGTGACCACAAGCAGTGTATGTAGATCAATGGCACGAAATCATCTTGAGTACCCGTGAAAAGCTGGGTACCACAGGGCAATGTATTGTGCCCGTTGTTGCTTGTTTGTTTCATAAATGACATGCCAGAAGCTATACACTCCTCCATACAAAATGTTTCCGGACGATGCCAAGCTTTTTAGGGAAACTAGAAATCAAACGGATTGTGAAATGTTACAAGAAGATCTCTGTCAGCTTCAGGAGCGGTTAAAGGAATGGTTGATAAGATTCACCGTCACGAAATGCAAAAGGATGCACCAACTAAAGAAACCTACTACATGACCCAACGAGACCTAATACCATCATTAACAAAGACATTATGAGAGATGGCATGATGGAACATCTACGAAACAACCTTGTAAAGGATTGCCAACACGGTTTTATGCCGGGACGTTCCTGTTTAATACAATTACTCAAGGTACTGGACGTTTGAACCCAAATTCTGGAACAGGTTGCCAATATCGACAATATATACCTTGATTTTGACAAGGCTTTTGACAGCATACCCAGTGAAAGGCTGAGAATTAAACTAGAAGGGTACGGGATTCGGGAAAGTATCCTAGCATGGATTGGAGACTTTATGTATGATCGTAAACAGTGTTTGGTGATCATGGCACGAAATCATCATGTGTACCTGCAAAAAGCGAGGTACCACAGGGCAGTGTATTGGGGCCATTGTTGTTTGTTTGATTCAAAAATGATATGCCAGAAGCTGTACACTCTTCCATACAAATGTTTGCGAACGATGCCAAGTTATTTAGGGAAATAAAGAACCAAACAGACTGTGAAGAGCTGCAGAAAGATCTGTGTGAGCTTCAAGAATGGTCAAGGAAATGGCTGCTAAGATTCAATGTCACAAAGTGTAAGAGGCTGCATCTGGGACGTACCAACGATAAGGGGGCACATCATATTCCCAATGGAATGAAGAAACTGCAGTAATAGAGACTGAATGTGAAAAGGACCTGGATGTGTTTGTTGACAATGACCTGAAGTTCTTGGACCATTGTGAGAAGGTGAATCGAGCAACTACATTATTAGGTCTTATAAGAAGGTTGTTCAGATATCTAGAGTGTCCATCCCTCGTAATGATCTTCAAGAGTGAGGTCCCCGAGATATGCTATGGACTCTCAGTTGATTGAAAATGTCCAAAGAAGAGCTACCAGACTGGTGCCTGCACTTCAGCACCTCAGCTATCAAGAGAGATTTGAGCACCTACAACTGCCTCGCTTATACTACTGACGGGCAAGGTGTATAAACATCTCAAAGGGCACTACTCAGTCGAGTGTTCATGCCTGGAGCTGGCGGACCCCCCCCCCACAAGGGGTCACAGCTCAATGTTGAAGAAGCCAGAAAATTGTTGCAATCTCTCCGTAAGTCATTGCGACGTTTGTCACAGCAAGTGGGAGCATCTCGTTCAGCCGTTCACAGGGCTGTCAAACATTTAAAGTAATGTTCATTCAGAGTGAGGGTAGTGCAAGAGCTGCACCTGTTGGACACAGACACTAGTGTTCAATACTGCCGTTGGTTCAACAGCTTCACACACAACAATGTCACAGTGCTGGACACAACATTTTTCATGGACGAGGCCTGGATTCATTTGAACGGGTACGTAAATTCTCAAAATACGCTGTGACAAACGCCACAATGACTTACGGGGAGATTGCAACAAACTCTGGTGTCACTACTGACAGCCACTCGGTTTTTGGTCTGTCTTTCACACTTCCTGTGTCACAAAAACGTTTCACCAGTTCATAAACAGTAGCCTTACATGGTGTCGGGCTATTGGGGAATGCTCTAAAGATTTTATCACACCGGTGATAAGATTTACTCTCAAAGTACGCCTCCAACAGTGCGACCCTCACGTTGCCAGCATGTGCCATGTGAAACCATGGATGGCTATCGTTAGCCATTAAACTACTATAAATTGCCAAACTTTGAGTATTTAAGATACAGGCATCCCTCAGTATAGGAATGGGTTAGGTGCCCCCCAAAAACATTCGTTAAGTAAATTTTTGTATCTTGAATAACAAAACAAATGGGAAAATAGGGTTTGGTTCTCCAGCGACATAAATACCCAGTACCATACCCCAAAAACACGAAATCGGTTCACAAGCAAGAAAAAATCTACCTAATTAATGATAAATAGTACACAGCTACTGTAATTTACAACCTAATGCATTAAAAACATCAACAAAATACAATCTAGACAAAAATATGCAGCTAAGACTATTAAGGAAAAGCTAAATCAAACTCTAACACAGCTGCCAGCGGAACCATTTGCACAAACGCAGGCTACTTCATGCATGGGAGCCCTCAAGTGCCGCCATGGCAATGCAGCCTGGCCACCTCTGCTGGGTCTTAGCAACACTCACACAAAGAAAAGTTTATTCCCTTTATGATTTTGACCTTAGGATATTTATTTATCTGTTTTTTGGGGGGCCCATTATGTATGTAGAATAGTGTGGCTGCCTCCCAAAAGCTGGGAATGCTGTACATATGCCGTAGCTACTTCACCCCTGAGCAGTTGCGTCAAGTATATAAGGGATTCATTGGTCCTAACTTGGAGTACTGCTCTCATATCTGGGGTGGCTCTTCTTCTGTCCAACTGTTAGATAGGGTGGAATCAAAGGCATTTCATCTTATTAACTCTCCTCCTTTAACGGGCAACTTTCGGTGGATTTGGCATCCTGTGTACCACCAGCAAGGCCGTGGGCTTGTAGCATACGTCTTGCCCGCGGTGCCCACTATTTCTCTGTGGATGTCGGTCACACTAGAATAACCCGTTATAGTACATCCTTCTTTCCTCACACAGCCAAACTGTGGAATGCTCAGCCTTCTTCGGTGTTCCCATACTCTTACAATCTGCCTCACTTTAAAAAGCTGGTTTTCCGGCATCTTCGTGGTGTAGATTAATATAATCTTTTTCTTTTCTATTTTTACTCTTATTTTTTCACCCCCTAGGCCCCGTTATGGGTCGATGACCTATTCCCCGTAAAAAAAAAAAAGTAACCGCGTAAAAAAAAAAAACTAAGAAATTTAAGTTTATTCATCCGAAACTAGGAGTTGAAAAGACATCATAACATAACTCCCTCCAGCTCATCTTGCTAACACTCCCTGGCACATGAAGGAATGTTTATTCCCTTTTGTTTTTGACCTAACAAAAAAAAATTTGTGTGCACATTTTCCATTTGCACATTGTGACAAGTAGTAGGCAGTAGACAGCTATCAAACAGGGAGGTACTACCGCTTGGGAAGATATTGGAAGCATAATGTGTTGTCTAATGGTAGACCCTGCTGCCATATGGCATCACAAAAATTGTGACCAAGCCCCAGGTTGCTGATCTGACTTTCTGCCTCATTTATGCACAATTGCAGGTCCTTAACTGTTTCTCTTACTTTAACAACACTCTTAATCTCTTTTATTTTTTTTATTCTTTTATTCTCCTATGATATCAGTTGACAATAATATTAAAGCGGGGCCTTCTCGGATGGGTCCCACTGGTCGGGAAGGATGTGGACCCCAGGGCTGACCTGATCATCATCAAACTACTGGGGCCTCAACTGACGCCACTGCAGCTGCTAGAGGATTGCCTTGTTTTCACACTTAATTTTTCCAAGATTTGCGGCCTGAAATCCAATTTTTCTTCTGTGGAGCACCAACTATTAATTTCTTCCCCGAATCTCTTCACTGACCAAAGCAGCTTCACCCAAACCTTTTCAAGTTTCCAACTACAACTTTTATACCTCTTTCCATTCTAAGGGAGGTGTATGCGCCTACTGCAACACACGTACTGTAAGGGTGCGTGTTGTAGGTGTTGGAAAACACGCACCCTTACAGTACACTTATAGTTTGACTCACGGATCTTGAATCTTCCCCTACGATGTCATTTGACTCAAAATATCTCTACCAATTTTGACAATTCTTTCTCTACCAACTATTTGGAACTCTTTGACTATCTCACTTCTTGCCATGAGTCGTTGCTATCCACACACCCCAACACCGAGATCCTTTACCTTGGGGGTTTTAATGTACATCACAGAGAGTGGCTTGATACTTTATTTACATGTTTACACAAACTGAACTGTACTGTACTATGAGCTACAAATGGCTGTTGATACTTTTGATTTGTTGTCCTAATTTAGCATCTTTTAGAAAGTTCTTATAGAAGTTAAGAAAAGAGGAGGGGGCGGGGGTGAGTTGGCAAGGTTGTTTGCCCATGCTGGCTCTCCACACCCCTGGCTGCCACCCTGCAACATGGTGGGAAGGAGCTTGCAAAAGTGAAGAAGAAATTACATCATATAAAAAATAACTTTATTTGCATTTTACTATATATTGCTTTCTACATTTGTAATTTATTTGCATTGCAGAAAAGGTTAGCATAAAAATCAATAAAAATCTTATTTCTTTTATTTTACCAAATATGGATGAGTTCATGTAAAATGGTATTGTAACAATAACAAAAGTACATTGAATATTATACTGCATGTGATAATGTATTTGGATGATCTGTCTCTTAACTGTTAAGATGAACTTTAACTTAACTCAACCTTGAGGACTGCAGCCAATTCCTAAGGGACCCCAAGCCTAATGACTTGATTGGGTTAGGTTGGAGCATGTTAGGCTTGCAATACTGTACCCTTAAGTGAAGACTTACAACCCTGCCCTAAAGAGCACAATACTATGAAGATAATTAATCATCATTAAATGAAGGCCCTGGCATGCTTGTTTCATCATCCTGTAGGCCCACAACAGGCTTCTGTCTGGCTGGTACACGAGGAACAGCGCCTCGTTTAGAATGTCTTCTCCGATTATCCTCCCTGTGAAAAAAGAGAGATGTTTAATGAGGATACACTAATATGACCAAGCATCAGACACCGGTACATCCACAACACCAAAAAAAGGATGAGTAGTAAAGACTGGGAGAGGAGGAGGGCAATATGGGGAGGTCACCCAGGTAGCAGCAGAGTGTGTGTGTGTGTGTGTGTTGTCAGCAGTGTGTGTGTGTTGTGAGTGTGTGTGTGTGTGTGTGTGTGTTGTCAGCAGTGTGTGTGTGTGTTGTGTGTGTTGTCAGCAGTGTGTGTGTGTGTTGTCAGCAGTGTGTGTGTGTGTTGTGTGTGTTGTCAGCAGTGTGTGTGTGTGTGTGTGTGTGTGTGTGTGAATAAGAAATGATAAAAAAGCAATGAGAAGAACTTAATTACAAGGCCTGGTTAAGTAAAAATAAAAGTATATTATATAACTGTTGAATTAAAACTATACTACTATAAATGAATACCGCAATACACATACTTCCTAGCTAGGCTGTCCTTCATGATACGATGCTCCTGCCTGGCGTGGTAGATGTGCTTGGGCAAGTGTCTGTGCCTCAGTATTCTTCTCATCTCAGGGAAGTGGCCATACTTTCTCTTCAACTCTTCGGCATAGTTGACGGAAGCACGTTCTCTGGACTTCATCTGTATAATATATCATCATTTGGGTATTTTGAACATTTTATGTTATCTGTTGTAGAAACCCAGACCTTGTCAGTACTTCTTAAAAATCCTGGCTATTGAAACACTTAAAAAATACTTCTTATATTAATATTTATGTACGACCTGCAAAACAATAATACAGGAGGTTCCAGACTTACGAACGCCCGCTGATATGAACGGGGCTAAACTTGAAATTTATAGTATTTTATTTACCGGTACCTGATGACCTATATTTTACTTTCATTAACTATATTTTGTCATTCTATTTCTTCTTTTGTCTTAAATTAAGTGATTTTAGGCTAGGATAAATTGGAATTTTAAACATTGTTTTGTTAATACAGTATGCATATAGCACGTGTTCCGACTCCAGTACAAATCCGACTTACGAACGTACTCAGGAACGGAACCCGGGGACCCCCTGTACAGTACTGTACATAACTGAATGGACAGAGTATGCCTACTGTGTAGAGGATATATGTGCAGTACAGTATACAGCGCATGTACAATCCCTCTGACTGACTGCTTCTCTAATAAAAGATCTTTTCTAATGAAGTTCTCCATCAAAGAACTGAAAAGCTTGCCAACTTCTTATCCAAGGATTGTTGCCATTGATTTATCAAGCCAAAACGTTTCAAGGAAAGGTTGTATGAACTTTGCTGTATATACTAAGCTTAGCAACAGTCAAACAGCCTTATGAAAAACAGAGTAAGATGAATATTTAGGAACCTTCTTCTTTGGACCATTGGGTTTTTCAAACCAAGACGGTCATTTCTGGTTTCTGTTTCTGTAAAATCTTCAATCAATCATGTACCACAGAACTGGTGAGGAAATACTTTGCTGCCATTTACTGTTGTGTAGTCACATCTTCTTGATGGAGACTCATTAAATAGATACAAGAGGGACTACTAAAGCTGATCAATTATCCATCCTGTTCCTTCAAAGTCTGTTATAAAGGCACCTTGCAGTTCACAAGTCCTTATGTCAATCAAGGAAGGGGTTTCATGGACTGAATCATCTCTCTTGGTAAAAAAATATATTTTTAGAAATTTTGAAAATAAACAATTCTCAAAGTTTATATAAAATTCCTCAATCTTTTCAAAACACAAATTTTTCTCTGACCTGACACAAAATTCCATGATTTTCCCTGACCTATGGCAACCCTGTTTATAAGCAATATTCCACATGTTTCAATGACTAGAGCAGTTTTTAATAGAAAAAAGTATCAATGTGAACAACATTTAAGTCACAGAATATTACTACAGTACTACAATAATGTTTTACAACAAAAGAGGCCTACACTTAAAAGTTAATACACAAGCGACTGTATACTCACAATCCCCATCTTCTCATGGGATACAGCCTTCCACACCCGCACATTGTGGTCAGAAGATCCGGAGAGAATGTACTTATTGTCTCCCGACCACAGAACACAATTTACCTTGAACATTCTCTTTGTATGATAAACATCACGGCTTTTTCCCTGTGGAAAAGAAACAATCATAAACAGTCTGTGAAGAGACAAATAAGATACAGTATTACCTCTCCACACTGAACTTTTAAATACCAAATCCCTCCTGAAATATCTCAAATAATGTACTGTACTTAATTATAATACAATAATAATAATGCAGGTCCACAATCCCTTATCCGCAATTCCGAAATCTGAAAAGCTCCGAAAACCCAAAGTTTTTTCGTGGAGCATCACTCGTGTGCACGACATACCCAGAGTGACGCCGAACACGACCCAACGCGGCCAAAGCTTGATCCACGCAGGTGTGAGACATCAGTTGTGTCTCAGCAGAATATAACTCGCATTGCTGGAATCCTTGCAAGACAGCGAATAATTTGAATATACTATACACATCATATATTTTGCACAAGAGATAAAACTTTTAGTTCTTTAGTGCAGTACATTCAAGTACAAGTTCTTCAACTCGTATTTTTGAGTCGCTATACGTAATTTTCTTCATTTATTTTTACTCATTTACATGCACACATCATCCTAAATACATATTGTGAAAAAAGTAAAAGAAATAATTGTCCTAAGGGCAAACCTGTACTGTACTCAAATGCACTAAATAATTACCCAAATTTTTTGTCTAGTGCAAACTGTAGCTTGTTTATATTCAAATTAATCACTATTTTACAAGAATTCCAGCAAAGTAAGTTATATTCTCCCACGTCAGTTCAGTGATATTTTATAAGTGATAAACTTAAACTCCATCTATATGACAGATAAGACGCATGGGATTAATGTCCCCGCCGGCTGGTGAATAATTCACCACTCCTCCCCCTGCCTGACTGTCATCACTTCACCTCACCCCCCACGCCTCCCCCTGCCTGACTGTCATCACTTCACCTCACCCCTCACTCCTCCCCCCTGCCTGGCTGTCAACACCTCACCTCCCCCTTCCCAGGGGTGAAGGTAGTTTTAGGCTTAAAGTTTTTATCTTATAAAATGTCACAGGCTAAAATTAAGAGAATATAGTTTGCATTCTGGAATCCTTGCAAGATAGTGAATAATTGGAATGTAAACATTACACGTCTCAAATTAAGTGTTAAAATATTATATTGCTTTATATTTATTATTATACAGCTATACTGTACAGTACAGTACTGTATTTAGTTTATATTTAATGTTTTGTTAATTCTATTACCGGTATACAGTACTTTGTATGTACAGTGGTCCCTCGGTTAACGAACACAACTCGTTCCAGAAGGTCGTTCGCTAACTGAAAATTTCGTTAACCGAAACCATTGTTTCAATGGGATTTTGGGTAATTGGTTCCAGCTCAACGAAAATTACATACAAAGTAAAAACAAATGCAGTAAAGTACACTTACTTTGAGGTGTGTATGTAGAAGGCTCCTGGTTGATGATGATGGGAATTAGAAGTGGGGGTGGAGGGAATTTTTTTAATATATGTATGTATACAGTACAGTGGTCCCTCGATTAAGAAAAGTTCAATTAACGAAATTTCGGTTAACGAATTAGCTTCCATAAGGATTTTCAGTTCCATCAATGAACAAAACTTTGATTAATGACAGCCTTAGGAGAAATAAGCTTTGTTGTGAGCATCAGCTGATCGGCTAGTCCGCCAATACAGTAATTGGTTCTATGTTTACATTTGTTTCCAGTGGAGTAAATATCAAGAAAGTTGTGTTCTTGAATATTTTTGCATTTTTTATATTAAAATTATTGGTCATTCTAAAATTTAGCCATCCAAGCTCTGTCTACATAAAGTTTTTCAACTAATATTTTTGGCTCGATATATGTAACTTTATTCATTTATTGAAACTCATTTACATGCACACACTGTCACCTCTCCTTACTCCCTCCCAGCCAGGGTTTGGTGGTTTTAGGCTTACAGTTTCTATCTTATATAATATCTCAGACTAAAGTTAGGAGCATATAATTTGCATTGCTGGAATCCTTGCAAGACGGCGAATAATTTGAATATAAGTGTCATATAATTATTTTGCACAAGAGATAAAAATTAATCACTTGTATCACATTACAGTGGTGATTTAACATAGGTATATATACTATATATATATATATATATATATATATATATATATATATATATATATATATATATATATATATATATATATATATATATATATATATATATATATATATATATATATATATATATACATATATATATATATATACAAATACCTCGTTTACAGACACCTCGGTTAATTTCGATTAACGAACTGCCTTCCATAAGGATCTTCAATTAGGTTAGCGAAAAAAATTACGATTAACAGTTTTGTGAACAGACTCAACATGTTTACTTGCACTGACAGGCAACCAACTTTAGTATCAGTCACAATACATAATAATCAGTTCTAGGGCAAATTCCTTACTATTTAGTAAATATAGTTTATACAATTCAATAATTTTTAAAAGTTTAATATTCAATTTTTAGTCATTTTAACATTATTGAACATAATAATTAAAAAGTAGACTAGATTTAATCGCGGCATCAGCCTCTTAACACAGCAAACAGGAGTTATGCTATTTCACTTGGTAATATCTTACTTGAGAACTCTTTCAACTAAATGCTTTTTTTCTGTGTTTCCAACCAAATTATTGGTTAAATTTTGAAATATATTTTACATGATATATAATTCATGCAGTGTTGATTTAAAGAAATAATCTTGAATTACACCAAGAAGGCTAAAATTTTGGGTAGAAATGGCGCCATGGGGTGACTTCTCTTCCACCCCAATGCCTTCTCTTCTTCCTTCTCCTCCACCCCCATTCTAAATCCCATCATCATCATCATCATCATCACAGGCCTTACACATAGTAAGTGTTTCTACCATTTGAATTTAGGAAATTTTCAGATGGCTGGAACCAATTACTCAAAAACCCATTGAAAACTGGTTTTACGGTTAACAAAACGACCTTCTGGAACAGTTGAGTTAGATTAGCGGAGGTCATATATATATATATATATATATATATATATATATATATATATATATATATATATATATATATATATATATATCTCTCACTCTACACACTGAACTTGACTTACGGTTAGGGACCCAAATTCAAGGTCGTGAAAAATTAATAAAAATCTACAGCCAGTCAAGTAATGACGTTGAATGGATACAGTACAGTAAAGTAATAAATAATAAGAATGGATACAGTGTGACTGAGCACTTAACCTTTAATGTAGTAAGCTACAAATGCACATGGAATTCTATAATTCCTAATTATACATGAAGACATTAACTGGAAACGTTTCAAGTATAGAAAATCGTGTGTCATTTAAAAAAAAATTTTTATCTATATAAGTAATTCGTAAGTCCCACGGTCGTAAGTCCACGTAGTCATTGAAGTAGCCTAGGTGTGTGTGTATGTATATATATATATATATATATATATATATATAACATATATATATATATATATATATATATATATATATATATATATATATATATATATATATATACATAGTACCACTTAGCGGTCAATTGAACCACAAATTTACGTTAAGTGAAAACGTTAAGTGAACAACAGATGGGATTAATTGTAGAGACTTGGCCCGACCCCAAATCCACTGACGACACACAACAAACGGTAAAATTTTATCTTAACTTTATGATGGTATGCACACACAATTAATAATTAAGAGAAATATCAATAATATTAGGTTTTAACACTTGCATTAGTAGAAAAGATGGCTGGGCACGGATGGGTTGTCTTATGGCAGAGGGGCAGATTATTGGCCCTCACCTGTATCACTTGTATCAATTGTATCACTATCCACCACAGAGGCTTGCAGGGCCTCTTTGTCAAACCCCCAAAGTCCATATAAGTCCATATCCTCACTATCATTATCACTATCACTGACTTGGGCGCTGTGGTGGGTGGGTGAAGAACTTCGGTAATGTTTTGATGATCACACCTTATGATCGTGCCCAGCGCCTCCCCAGCATAATGATGAAAAATTCGCTAAGTGAAAGTTCAGCTCGGAGGCAACACATGATAAAACGCGTTAGAAAACCAAAGGCGAGTAATACTGTGTATACTGTATATATATGTGTATATATATATATGTGTATATATTTATATATATATATATATATATATATATATATATATATATATATATATATATATATATATATATATATATATATATATATATATATATATATATATATATATATATATATATATATATATATATATATATATATATATATATATATATATATATATGTAACGGTCGAATTTGCTGGACTTTAATTTCACTTGACTTGGGGTTTATTAAATTTAATAGATGGTAAAGGCAGGAAGCACTTGAGAAAAAAATCCCGAACCAGCACAAGAATACTTAAATCACTACACAAAATGAACTTCGTCTGCGACCGTGGAAGGATAGCGTCTGTGACTGGGATGAATGAGACACACTGTAAATTTAGACACTTATATTCCCTCCAACACTACAAACACAATCAAATAATGGTACACCAATATCAGACTCTCTTAACTCTGAACTTTAAAACACTACTCTGGGGAATAAAAGTTATACATGACATAGAAATTATTAGAAACACAGGCAACAATAAATTTGAAGTATTAAGAAATGTTGTTTGCACACATGAACAGGCCTAAGGGCTTTCACAAAATAATATCAGTCACTTAGGAAATGGTACTAAAAATAAGAAATTAAATACTCCACAATGAACAGGCCTTAAGGGTTTTCAACAATATAATATCAGTCACTGAGGAATGGTAATAAAATATAAGAAATTAAATACTCTACAATGAATAGGCCTAAGGGCACTCAACAAAATTATAGCACCCCAACAGATGTACACTTCCTAACCTAACTTAACCACTACTCTGGGGAACAAGGTTATACCTGAGATCAGAATTATGAAGAACAATTAGAGGCATTAAAAGAATCAAATCACAGTATCACTCTGGTTCCACTTAATGGCACAAACATTCAAAACAATATTATCAAAATTATTTAGAAACTATTAAACTACACACGCTCAAGATAATATCAGTCTGAGGAATGGTGTTAACTACAACCCGTGATAAGGAAGATAAAAATGTTCCTCTAGGTATCTCCTAGAGTCCTAGACTCACGGTCTCAGTGTGTGACCATTAATACTCAGATAACCTCAGTGTACTCCCAAAGGCCCATGGAAGGGAGGAGCCAATCAGACCTTTTACAGTTGAGAGAAACTTTGCTTCCGTTAGCAAGGGTTTCACTAGCTGCTCGGGACATGGGGTTGTGCACGGAGTGGTAGAACTGATCACCCACTGCTGATGCTGGTCCATGTCGTTTAGTTGTCGGAGCACTTCGTTCACTCAAGATCCTTTGCTACCCCACTAAACAGTGACAGGCCTACACGATCGGTCCAATGGCGTATCGCCACCCTCAATCATCAACGGCAGTCAATCTTTTGCAGTCACTCGGTCAAGTGGGTTCTGGCGGAAACCTTGTTATACTGCATGTGACTAGGCAGTGTTTCTGATGGACGCGCGGAACGTCTTGTCTGTGTGAATGCTCTCCGGGACTGGCCTAGCCAGCGTCGTGTCTCCCCAAGGCGCTAGCTTGGGCCTACGTGATATATTTTCCGCCTAACTAATAACTCCTTGGGACACCCGTAACATTTTTCAGACTGCTAAACGATCTATAATAATTTCAAATTCAATAATAGTCCCTTAACTTCATGAATCGCATCATTATTAATTCGGTAAATTACATTTAATATCATATAGGCCTAGTTCCGCAGTCTCTCGCTACGAGCAGGCAGCGCTCCTCCCCTCAGATGACCTTGAACGCTCAGTATCACTCATGGCGGGGCATTTGAAATTACTCTGAAATTTCTGAATATTACAATCGACCCCCCTAAAAAAGACAGCACTGTCCTCATGTGCTGAGAAAACATGCATACGACCCCCCTAAAATTTTGTTCTAAGGACTGCACCTCACCCCTTTAGCGTGCTAAATGCAGCATTTGTCTTCTCTTCTCTCCTTTTCTCTCCCGCTTCATCTCCTGTATATATATATACACAGAGAAGGGTGAGATCAAGTACACAATGGTCAGGTATCAGGTAATGACCCTACTAATCTTCAAAAAGCACAGCAGCAATGGGTAGTCAGGTCAGAGGGTAAGCTGACCCAACCTTCTCACCTGGTTACAAATCTTCTTTATTACAAAATTATCCAGTTTGTACATACCATTACTCAAATTCATGTTGATGATTCGGTACGTTTAATGAGAGTAGATTCTATCTTTTAATTAATGTTATGTTATGTAATGTATGTATGTACTGATGGAAACAGCATCATTTATCTTATGTACAAAAGATTCATTACTGTTTATTACTGAATATGTATTTGATTGAATTAGTATTTATGTATGTGAAATGAACAATACTATTCATTTATAATACGTATTAAAACACACAAGAGGAGACGAGACGCCTATGTTCACGTTTACAACCGTGACGATGGTTCTACACATAAAACTGAAGAAGATAAGACCCTGGTTATAGCTGGAGTAAAAATAATGGAAAAAAGAATATGTATGTTTTAATTAATGTTATTTAATGTAAATGTGTGAGGGTGGTTGTTGGAGGGTGTGTTTGGGTGTGATATGAGGTGTACGTGTGATGTGTGGGTGGGTAGGATCATGTGGTCAGTCCCCCCCTCCTCACTCAAAGTGGCTAGTTATGACGGAGATGAATTTGATACCATAATGATCCTTAATAAATTATCTACGAAACATTTCCAATAAGATATCCTTAAACAAAATATTTCTACTACGTATATGATACAGTGATGGGAATCCCATTCTTAAAAAAAAAAAGGCGTAAGAAATGTTGATACCGGAAACAGTTAAATTAGTTCTAATTTCATTAGACACAATTTTTTTATCAAAATAATCCTGAATACTTTATCTAAAAGTTTGGTTTAATAAATATATTAAAAAACAAAAGGTCTATATGATACAGGCATGAATAGAGCAGTGTTAATGCTTGTAGGAGCTGTAGTTATTTATGCAAACACCACTGTACAAACTGTTTATACTGTAAACATAATAATGTATACTACTGTATATATTGTACTCCAGCAGATCTTGTCATCTATAGCCTAGAGTAGGCACACACTTTACTCAGTTGATTGTAATACATAACTGTAATCACGTCTTAACACTTGTGATGAAGGTTGGGTGGGAGGTTATTGGGTATTATACTAACCTGACCTGATGCAGTGTCGGTCACCCATTGTTGGGTGGGAGAGTAGTGGGTATTATACTAACCTGACCTGATGCAGTGTCGGTCACCCATTGTTGGGTGGGAGAGTAGTGGGTATTATACTAACCTGACCTGATGCAGTGTCGGTCACCCATTGTTGGGTGGGAGGTTATTGGGTATTATACTAACCTGACCTGATGCAGTGTCGGTCACCCATTGTTGGGTGGGAGGTTATTGGGTATTATACTAACCTGACCTGATGCAGTGTCGGTCACCCATTGTTGGGGTGGGAGGTTATTGGGTATTATACTAACCTGACCTGATGCAGTGTCCATCACCCATTGTTGGGTGGGAGGTTATTGGGTATTATACTAACCTGACTTGATGCAGTGTCGGTCACCCATTGTTGGGTGGGAGGTTATTGGGTATTATACTAACCTGACCTGATGCAGTGTCCGTCACCCATTGTTGGGTGGGAGGTTATTGGGTATTATACTAACCTGATCTGATGCAGTGTCGGTCACCCATTGTTGGGTGGGGGAGTAGTGGGTATTATACTAACCTGACCTGATGCAGTGTCGGTCACCCATTGTTGGGCGGGAGGTAATTGGGTATTATACTAACCTGACCTGATGCAGTGTCCGTCACCCATTGTTGGGTGGGAGATTAGTTAGTCTTATGACATAGAATGACATTTTTTACCTATGAGGTATATACATAGTTATACTGTATTGTATATGAAGGGCACAGATTATTACAGTAACGTATCTTTACTAATTAATGAAAAACAAACAATATTGTCTCATGAGTGAGTCAGTGAGACGACCCTTTTGGGGTAGGAGGGTGGCACGGTCTCTGTTATCCCCCAATGGACCCTTCTCCCTCTGGCTGGGAGTAGGAGGTGAAGTGGAGGTGTCAACAGCCACGATTATGAAAGGCAGGGGGGGATTTAATATTTTTACTTATAAAATACCACTGACTTGACTTAGGAGAATATAACTTGCATTGATGGAATTCTTGTAAGCTAAAGATTAATTCAAATCTAAACATCCCTTATTTTGCAAAAGATTTAATAATTTTAGTAATTAACTTAGTGTGTTTCAGTACAGGTTGTGATAATTTATGTGGTTGCAATTTTCGAAGCTTCGTGACATCACTAGTGTATAATGGATCTCCATATGCCCTGGTATATTCATTGATCAGTTGTCTAAGTGCAAAAGTAGCTCAGTCGAGCCATCATGTATCAATTAATTTTAAAATACAAATTATAATGTAAAATGTTTTAAGACAAAGGTTTAGTAGTGCTGTTAATGTGTGTGCTGTGTGTCTTGGCATGTCTCCTCACCACCTGACTACTGAACAAACTCTTTCATCAACTTCTTCAAATCCTACAATGTGCTTCACACACACACACACACACACACACGGGAATTAAGACAACAAGCATCCAGTGAGGGTCTTGTTGTGTGACTGCATGGAGGTGAATTAAAAGATCAGCTGTTGAGGAGCTTAGCGCTTGGCAACACTGATGCATGTTACCACTCCTTTCCACTCCATCTCTCTAATCAACCACACCTTTCTCACTCCATATTTTAAAATGTTATGTAACGTAATGTTGAAGGGACACAATGATGCTCATTTATACTTATACCTATCACAATCTCCCTAAAAATACTTTAGGTTTCATGTTTATTCAAGACATCTTCAGGTCATGAGACCCACTAATCCTCTACCCAAGAAAGGGTGACCTGACATTCCATCAGAAAGTCAGGTCAGGTCCCTCCCAAAAAATACTTTAGCCTTTATCTTTATTCAAGACATTTTCAGAAAATGTACCTCGGAAAATTTGTTCCCAAAGCCAGATTTTTTTTAAATTTCGGCTTTGGGAATGCATTTCCAAGCAAATTTAAATTCCGGCTATAGGAGAGTTCCAGGTTAGAGGGATTCCGGCTAACGGAGATATTACTGTATTTAATATTGTGACTGAAGATGGATCTGAAGCACAAACGGTAAGCCAAGGAATGAGTCAGTGTGGACCACAAATGTTCATTGGACCTCGAGTTGACCAACGATTCACAGAGGTTTTCATGACCCTGAATCAACCGGGTGAAAATGCTATTCATAGTGAAAAATCATCAAGCCTTTTTGATGCTTAATGTACTGTACCTGCAATTCAACAATATGGTCTCTCTGCTAATGGCCCTGAGAGGGTGTTTAGTTGAGGAGTTCTCTGGCAGGCCACTTACAATGATCCATACATCATTAAGCAGCAGAGATACTGTACTATATGTAAACAGTAAGAGATGAAACAACAGTGTCTTAATAGTTACTTACTTGATCTGTTCTAAAAATTCTGAGAGATCTGTCGTAACTTCCCGAGCAGAACTCTCGACCAGTTGGAGCATAGTCAAGATCAATGACGGCGGATGTGTGACCTTCATGAATGTTGATGACTCTGTTGTCTTTATTCATGTTTCTAATATCAAATGAGTACAAGCTGCAAAATAAAATTAAAAATAATTCTAAATTACATTAAGAAAGCTAGTGCAACATTACACAACAATATTCTGATATCTATCTTCGTACACATGATCAGTTACTTTAAAAACAGCATTTGATAATAAAAGTAAAATCAAAGTGATCACAGAATGACACTTAATATGGCATTTATCCACACAGAAGTGAAGTACAGATCATGAAATCCCATTTTATGGCTGCACTCATAACTAACACACTTAAGACTTATTGCCATGAGTCTTAGGTTCTGAGCTCTAGTTAAGCCTGAGACTGTCTCAAGCATTAATTACACTTCCACTTCATAAGCAAGGGATCTTCAGAAACAACAGTCAACATTAAAGGAAGGAATCAATGAGTCAGGAGAACCTTCATACAGGTCAGCCACTTGGAGATGCCATTGGAGTTTAGAACTTAGTCAGACTGAGCAACTCCATATAGCCAATAAATCTACACCTCTGCAGCCTAATATACAGGTTGTACCATTCAAAATGCAACCCAAACAACAGTCACAAATTACTCTACAAATACAAAATCAGAAGACATATCCTCCCTTAGTTTTGTGTAATGGACTTCCTTAACCTTCTCCGTTATACTGACAAAAGTCATAGGTATGGCTTCTTTGAGCTAAAGCAATCAGGGTGAGAGGATGGTATATTCACAGGCTAAACGTGTGTTCATTCCTGAATATTACTTTGCAACCAAAACTGTCTACAGCTTGTGTGAAAGCTTGTTCTTGTTAATTTGATCTGTAATAGATATTGTTTGGTTGATGAATCTTTTCTTCACAAATTCATCATACCGTTCACCACCAATTTTTTTCACGTTCTTCACACATTCAACTGTTTCTTTTGGCGTTACAACTTTGGATTCTAGATCATACAACTCACCACTGTCTTCATTTAAGGGATTACCAAGAATGTTGAAAACATTAACCAGTGCCAACACTTGCTTTCAGAAGGTAGCCTGTACATGTTTAACCTATTCATGGTGTGCGCTTCCATATTCCAAATGTTCCCCGAGACCAGTAACTTCCTCATACTCTTGGACCATTCTTACAATCTCTGGCCCAGCTATCATCCAGCGTCTGAAGGCTGCTGGGTTTTCAGTGAGACCTATTGCCCCTTTGTCTCCCTTTACATGAGCATTTAGCTGTTCATGAACATTATCAAATGCAATATTAAAAAACGTTTTTTTTTGCTCATTCACTGAAAATGGACCAGCTGAAAAAAAAACTAAAAAATGCCTGGGTGCATTTCAGTCAATCAACTCATGTCTCAGCCACCCAGAGTAATTTATGTGGTTCAGTCCAAACATCCAAGGCATCAACTGTGTTAAAGACAGCACATACATTTGAAATTTCCCTTATCTTATTTCTTTCACAAGTTTGAATATGATAAGCTATAGTTGTATCACTTTTGAACTGGGGTTCTTTCTCACTTATTTCAGTGCACCATTATTTACTACAGTATATGCTTTCTTTTGTAGGATGTATAAAAAGCAGCTTCACTTAGTAAACATGCTGAGACTTGGCTTTAATAAAATTGATTTTTCTAGTCAGAAATGGATACCATGACCCCAAAAGCTGTCAATTTTGGATTTTCTTGGCTGTTCAACATATATTAGTTGTTTTATACATTAAACTCTACCACTCAGTCAAATGTCACGATTCTACTAAAAAGTGAACATTTATCATGGTTAACTGCTAGATTAGAGGGAAGGAAGGAGACCAAGCTACCTTCTGGTACTGCTCACCGGGACTCACAACACCCCCCCCCCCACCACCGCAAGACGGCTCTCACTGGGGGAAAAGGTTCAAGTTGTACCATGTAGTCACAATGGGTCAAGTTGTACCATGTGGTCACAATGGGTCAGGATGTACCATGTGGTCACAATAAGTCAAGTTGTACCATGTGGTCACAATGGGTTATGAACTGGGTAGCACTGTACTGCCTCGCCTGCCACTGCTGGCTGTGAAGTGGTTGGCAGTATTACATTTTATAGGCCTAGTGTGCAGACCATAAAATGATTCCTCTAAATTTATTTCTGTACTGAACTTACTTGTAATCCTCACTAGCAGCAGTCAGTATAAATGCCTCCATAGGATTCCAAGCCAAGGCATTGACACGCATCGTCATCTTTAACTTCTTTACTTCTTTAGCTCGAGTGTCATAAAGGACGATGTTATTTGCATGGTCGCTGGAAGCTGAGGATCAATAAAAATGTTTGTAAAGTCAAAATCAAAACAACATATACAAAATGTAAATATTGTATAAGAACACGTTCACCCGCCAAGAAAAGTACGTGGACCCTCACAGTGTCAAACAATGACAAAATATAACAAACTGGACAAAATATTATAAAAAGGAATGTTTCACATTGGTAGCCCAGCATTCCTACTATGGCAGTAATTGGGTTATCAGTTATTTCTCTCATTATAAGTTTGTATATTCACAATATTTGTATCTTGGAGAGTAAAGCATTTAGGAAACCACTTTTATTACATTTGTTACATTAATAATTGATATAAGCACCCCAGCCTCTATTAAGCTGTTAAGTCTCCTGAGCATGGAGTCCACTAACTCAGTAGTGAGGATTTGTCTGGCAGGACTTGGCAACTCTTCCCACGCTTGTAGTGTACTCATGACGACACTTTCACACCTCCTGGGGTGGTTCATCGGCATCCATTGTCATGGCAGAACCATACGTTCTCGATGGGGTTAAGGTCCAGAGATTGTGGTGGATGTGGCAGTTCTATACGTAGTGTTATTTCCGGGTGTTGGCCAAATTACTCTTTGACGACGTGACAGGTGTGGATGGGGCTGTTGTCTTGAATAAAGTAAAATGACCCAGGCTCGGGAAAGAACAATGCCCGCACTGACGGCAGTAGAATGCCTTCTACAGTAGGTTCTCAAATTTTGCAAGTTTTTAATTCAACGTTTTTTATTTGGGCAAAAAAAAAACTACACAATTTCAAATTTCAACGGCGGAAACTCGAATTTCGACGGGTTTGAGCGGCCCGCCAACGTTCAGATGTGCACAATGTGTAAACAGCGTCATTTCTCTTATGTACAAAAGATTCATTATTGTTTATTACGTTATGTCTTTTTGATTGAATTAATGTTTATGTGTGCAAAATGAACAATACAATTCATTAATAATACGTAGAATATTAAAACACACGAGGAGACGAGACGGCATTGTTTTCGTTAATGTTTACAAAAACAGTGACTGATTGGTTCTACATATAAAACCAAAGAAAATAAGACCCTGGTTGTAGCTGTAGTAAAATTAATGTAAAAAAATTAATATGGTTGTTTTAAGCAATGCTATTTAATGTTAATACAGTGATCCCTCGGTTAACGAACGCTTCGGTTAACGAATTACCTTCCATAAGATTCTTCACTCCGGTTAACGAAAAAATTTTGGTTAACGAATTTCTTACTAGCAGCATTTGCCTGCTCACCAGCTGTAGTATTAGTCTGCCAATACAGTAATCGGTTCTAGGGCTTAAATTCGTTACCATTTTAGAAAATATCAAAAAGGTTGTACCATTCAATCGTTTTAAAAGTTTTATATTCAATATTTTAGTCATTTTAACAATTATTGAACATAATTGAAGAACAGGAAATTAGTTTTTTGCACGCCAAACAGCCACTCAACACACCAAGCTTGGCGTCAGTTTGTTTACAGGTTCAGAGGAAGGAACATCTTGTTTGAGACTCTTCAACATAAACGCTTTTTTTCTGTTTCCAGTCAAATTATTGATCATTCTGAAGTTTATTTTACATATTGACAATATATAATGCAGTGCAGTGTTGATTTAAAGAAAATAATCTTGAATTACACCAAGTGAACCAAAATTTTATGGGAGAAATGGCGGCATGGGGTGACTTCTCCTCCACCCCAATGCCTTCTCTTCTCCCTTCTCCTCCACCCCCACTTCCTTCTCTTCTCTCCTCTCCTCCACCTCCCACTTCAAATTCACATGAGCATCATCATCCAGGAGCCTTCTACATACACACCTCAAAGTAAGTGTACTTAACTGCATTTATTTTTTTACTTTAAGGTAATTTTCGGTGAGCTGGAACCAATTAACCAAAAACCCATTGAAACAATGGATTCGGTTAACGAACAACCTTCTGGAATGAATTGTGTTCGTTAACCGAGGGACCACTGTAAATGGAACAATAGAAGTAGCTACCGGGTAACCATTAATGGTAAAGAAAAAAAGTGAGATCGCGTATGTAATTGTGCACATGTGAAAACATATCGTCATTACTCTACATAAGAATATGAAAGCAATACTTATTTACTGTTCATATATATTATAATTAATGTTTCTGAATTTAAAACAAAAATTCTACCCACCAGTGGTGGTAAAGTTGAAAACATAAGGACAGCCAATGTTGATGTGTGTCTTTACTGGGATGACAAAGTTGCCAAGTCATCAGGTTCAACTCTAGCTGAAGCTGTAGAACATAAGAACTTTTTTGTGTTGTTTTAACTTTTTATTTAACTTCATCTGTGTTATTTTCGTTGATTTATTAGGATGTTGCTTTATTACAGGGAGTAATTCGCCCAAAAAGTAGGGTAAATAAGGCAAAATTTAGCCAAACATCGAAAATAACAGACTCAAATTAATTTTCTCCATAGGAAGTTGTATTTAAATTTGGACGAATTGAATTTCGCGAGGTTCTTACAGTCTAAATAGGTGTCCAAATATGAGAGCCTACTGTAATATGTTAATATACTTGAGACCGGTGAATGGGCCAGCCCATCATCGGCCAGCTCCCCCACACCTCCTACGTGCAACCACCCAAACAACCCCGCGGTGACTTGGCCACTTCTCCTTGTGGGCACTACATGGTCTGAATCGTGCTTGCAAACAGTATTTTAACAATCAATACTGTATTGATGCAACTCTTCGCAACGTAACATGAATTAAAATATAAATTAACTAATGTAATTATGACATGGAGAGATTTACTACACCTAGTGTTTCGTATCTGCCGCACTTTAGTACTTCTGTGAAGGTCTGAGCTGAATGTCTTCTCATCACAAAAGACTACGTGGAGCCAGAAATTATCATCTATGTCACAGTATTCTAGCGCATACTCCATTCTTTTCTCCCTCTTCAACTCAGAGGTGTGTGGCTTCTTTGCCGATGTGTAACTACACAGATCCATGGAGTGAAGTCTGCTTCGGATAGTTTGAGGAGCGCATCATAGTCCAAAGTAGTCCCGAATGGTGACAGCTGTGGTAAATGGATCGGCTGGTCCAGAAATGGAGGAAAACATATTAATGTCATAAATGAAGAAGTACAGTATATAAGTATTTCAGTTATTTACTGACTTCATTAACATTAACACAAATAATAAACCTGGTCATCTTCCCGAGATGTGCATTGCGGGCGCCCGCTCCAAGGCCTGTCTCCTCGTAGCACCGAATTCACTTCACTACAGTTGACTTGGACACACCAAAGCTGCAGTGCAATTCCATAGTTGCCAAGCCATGGCTGTGTAGAGCAATGATAGATGAATGTGTTGAGTTTGACGTCTCCTTGATGAGTGACGAGACCGTAGCATGGATACAGCTCGTCTACCATGAAAGCTTCCCAAACCCTTACCTGTCTTTATAATTGAATCACTATAATCGACTCTTTTTTTATTTGGTAGACAAGAGCGAGGTTTGCTAGATTTCCAAGGTACAGTTCGTACTGTTTTGAGGTGTCTCAAAACAGCGACTCACTCATGCTTACCAACTTTAACGACAGGAGTTGTGTTCAAATTGAATACCATCACAGACAGGGGTCCAAGGGTCCATGTACTTTTCTTGACTGGTGTACACATCTTCCTATACTGTACTGTATATAATACATATGACTTACAGAGCACACACATTTATGATCCCTTATCTTGGATATTAGAGCTACTGTACAACTAGAGAACAAAAACAAACAATAATCAATTTAACAAGAAGAATTACCAAACAGGTCAGTCTCAACAGGGTTGAATTTGACTGATACTACACTAGCATCATTGCGATCTCCACTTGTGCTCCAGTCATAGGAAAATTTGGGTGCCTTAGTGCTGGAGTCCCACAGTAACACTCGCTCACCACACGTGATGAACTCATTCTTGTGTCTGTGGTGTGTGATGCCTGTGATGATTGACTGAAAGAAATAACAAATGTATAACTCTGGTGAACTTGAACAATAAAATAATTCTTACAAAAGATTTTTTGTACCACAAAGCATTTTATGATACAGAAATACAAAACAAAATATTTTATCATAACTAATATAAGGCAAAGTACAGTAAAATCTGGATGATACGAGTAGATACGCTCTTTGGAGTCTGCTCGTATTGCAAAAACTCATATAATGGAGGGAATAATACACGGGTTAAATAGGGATGCATTCCCGAGCACCAAGTATAGCGATGACAGTAAATAAATGCGATTCAGTACGAGCGGACAAACTGAGATAGCAGATTCAAACGCTGCGAGATAGGAGAGGGTGGCTGGGGGGAGGACGGTAGGGAGGGAGGGGAGGGGAGGGGTGCGCGGCCTGGCTGAGTCGCTCACAAACACATCTCTGTGCATCTGGCTGGGGGGAGGACGGAAGGGAGGGAGGGGAGGGGTGCGCGGCCTGGCTGAGTGGCTCACAAACACATCTCTGTGCATCTGGCTGGGGGGAGGACGGAAGGGAGGTAGGGGAGGGGTGCGCGGCCTGGCTGAGTGGCTCACAAAAACGTCTCTGCACATCTACGTCACGAGAGACATCACAGACCATGTCACTGCTTGTTCCACCTACTTGGCTGGGTAAACTGAGAAAGCACTGTAGCCAAGTTTGACTCGTCACAGCAACCACCAGGCTACTGGGCCAAGCTGTTAGGTGTTATGGTTGTTTTTCAACTCATATTTTCGGGTAGATATAAGTAACTCTTCATTTATTTTTAATTATTTACATGCACACACCCTCCTAAATATATAATTGTGAGATAGGTAAAAGAAATAATTGTCCTAAGAGCAAACCTGTACTCAAATGTACATTTTATAAGCGAACAACTTTAACTCCCTCTATTTGACTTGGTAACCAACCTTTGCCGCCAAGCTGTCAGCACCTCACCTCACTCCCTCCCTCCTCCTCCTCCCAGCAAGGGTGAAGGTAGTTTTAGGCTTAAAGTCATTATCTTATAAAATGTCACAGACTAGACTTAACAGAATATAACTTGCATTGCTGGAAACAGATCTAGTTTTAGAATTAGGGGGAATATAAAAATGTGAAGAAGAGTGAAGAGTAGAATCATCAGTGTAAGAATGGATAAAATTAGTCGTAGTGTGAAGTAAATCATTGATAAAAAGAAGGACACCACTATTGGTAGAGAAAGAGCAAGAGATCGATCCCTCGACAACAACTGCCATGGATAGGTTCTCAAGGATGTCGGAAATTAGAGAACAAAGTGGGGGAGAGAAACCATAAGAGGGAAGTTTAGAAAGCAAAGACTTGTGCAATACCCTGTCAAATGCTTTGGAGATGTCGAGGGCCACGACGAAAGTTTCCCCATAATCCCTAAGAGAGGATGACCAAAGATGGGTGCAGTAGGAGAGCAGATCACCAGTAGATCTCGCCTGGCAAAAACCATACTGGTGATCCGACAAAAGAGAGTGGCGTTCAAGGAGACGGAGAAAATGAGAGTTCAAGATAGTTTTGAAAATCTTAGAGAGGGATGAAGTTAGGGCAATGGGGAGACAGTTAGAGGGATTAGACTGGTCACCCTTCTTCGGAGGGCTGACTCAAGGCATGCTTCCAAGAAGAAGGAAAAGTTTGGGTTTTGAAGCAAAGGCAAAAGAGGCGAGCAAGCACAGGGGCCAGGGCTTCAGCACACTCCATCAGAACACGAGGGGGTATTCCGTCTGGTCCATGCGCCTTACTCACATCCATATTGGATAACACACAAGCAAACTTATGAGTGGAGATTTTAGGAAAGTGCATAGGTTCAGTAGGAGGAGCAGGAGTAGATGGGGTAGAGTTGAAATCGTCTAAGGTAGAGTCAGAAGAGAATAAGGTGCCAAAGAGACTGGCTTTGTCAGGGGGAGAGTTGGCTATAGAGTTATCAGGTCGGAAGAGAGGAGGAAAAGAGGAGTGCAGAAGATATTACAGATGTTTTTGGTTCAGGACCAAAAGGATTTACTAGAAGAAGAGTTACTCAGGTCAGCGGTCTTTCTTTTATATAAAATTCTGCTTGGCCCTATGAAGAATAGCCTTACAATGATTCCTAGAAGTAATGAAAGAGGAGTGAGTAACTGGAGGAGATAGTTTCATAGCTCGATATGCCTTATCTCTCTCCCTACATACAAGAGAACAGGAGCGATCAAACCATGATTGTAAAGTGAAAGTTTTGGTAGAAGATGGGATAAATGCACTCAAACCGCCCTGTATAACCCCAGCAATGTTGTCAGCACATACTGAGGCTTCCCAAGTGGAAAAGAAACATTCATTCCAGGGAAAGTTGGAGAAGAATTCTCGCAAGAATTGCCAGCTTGCCCTCCGATAGTGCCGTAGTTGATGTTTAGAGGGAGGTGGTCGTGCCCAGTTTGATTCAAAAGAAATAAGATTGTGATCAGAAGACCCTAAGGGGCCAGAAATTGAGTATGAATAGCGTGAGGGGTTAAAGGTAAAACAAAGATAAAAAAATGTTAGTAAGTTGATTGTGTCGATCAGGAACACTTGTAAGGTGTTTGATTATTTGTTCCAGATCATTAAGTTAAGAAAAAGAGAGTACCTCAGCTCCACCTGGGTCATCCTTTGCAGAGCAGTCACTCTCTGTGATGTACATTGAAACCCCCTACGTAGAGGAGCTAGGTGTTAGGGTGTGTAGATAGCAACAACTCGTGGCAAGAAGTGAGATAGTCAAAGAGTTCCCAATAGCTGGTACAGTTGGGAGAACAGTATAGGAAACAAAGAAAAATAGTCATAGTTGGTTGAGATATCTTGAGCCAGATGACATCATAAAGGGAAGATTCAAGATCTCTCTCTGTGGTGGTGGGTGGGTGGGTGGGTGGGTGGGTGGTGGGGTGTGTGTGTGTGTGGGGTGGGGTGTGTGTGTGTGTGTGTGTGTGTGTGTGTGTGTGTGTGTGTGTGTGTGTGTGTGGGTGGGTGTGTGTGTGTGTGTGTGTGTGTGTGTGTGTGGAAGAAGCCTCTCTGTGCTTAATAAAGTTACATTGGCCAAATAATATAATATAGTGTAGTGTACTATATGTGGTGTCCAGTAGTGGAGGGTTAGTAGAGATAGTTTAGTCTCCTGTGTACAGGGTCTCTCAGTATTGAATAAAATAATTAGGCATTACCTAAATACTGTCAAATATTAAAAGTGATGTTAAGCTGAAAAGTAAAAATATAAGAGACATGATATTTGCTTACATCACACAGCCAGGTATCCATAGGTAAATCTTCGTTCTCCTCTCGAGCGTGCTGTACTGACCATCGCTTTATGGTTTTGTCGTTCCCAACAGAGAAAAATGAAGCACCATCAGGAGCAGCTTCAACAGACCATATCTGTCCATTGTGAGCTTGTATTGTCCATTCACATTTCTTATTTGTAATGTTCCACAACTTTAGCTGCAATATAAATAAAGGTTTATATCATCTATTAATTGCCAAGAAATGAAGGACAAGAATATTAAATCCCATTTTACAGCAGCAGACACAAATGGTCTCCTCCATAAGCCCAAACCATCTCAGCTCTACACAAAACTTTGACAATACTGTACAGTACTGTACTCTCAATACTCAGCTGCCCTCTTAGCTGTGAACAGGGTTTCCTATCATTCAGTTTCATATTGCACATCTATCTCATCATACTCATTTCAGTTTGCTCAAGCCCGTATATGTGATCCTCTTTAACTACCCAAGTATCACTGCCACACATCATCAACATAGCTAAAGCTGCCTTCCGAAAGCTGGGAATGCTGTACAGATGCCATAGCTACTTCACTCCTGAGCAGTTGCTTCAAGTCCTAACTTGGAGTACTGCTCTCATATCTGGGGTGGCTCTTCTGTCCAACTGTTAGATAGGGTGGAGTCAAAGGCATTTCGTCTTATTAACTCTCCTCCTTTAGTTGATATATTTCTTCCCTTTCTCTTCATCACAATGTTGCTTCACTCTCTCTCTTTTACATATACTTTAACGGGCAATGTTCAGTGGATTTGGCATCCTGTGTACCGCCGACAAGGCCGTTAGCTCGCAACGCTCGTCTTGCTCTCGGTGCCCACCATTTCTCTGTGGATGCCAGTCACACTAGAATAAACCGTTAAGAGTACATCCTTCTTTCCTCACACAGCCAAACTGAAGAATGCTCTGCCTTCTTCTGTGTTTCCATACTCTTACAAAATGTCGCACTTTAAAAAGCTGGTTTTCCGGCATCTTCGTGGTGTAGATTAATATACAGTAATCTTTTTCTTTTCTATTTTTAATTTCTTTTTACTCTTATTTTTTCCCCTTAGGCCCAATTGTGGGTCTATGACCAGTGCCTGGGTGGGCTATTCCCCATAAAACACAAACAAAAAACACTACTTCTCATTACCAGGTATTGGTAGTAGGCAGCTACCAAACAGCAAGGCACTATTGCCTGGGAAGATATTGGAAGTACAGGTTGTACCTCTCTAGTCCGGCATTCTGTGGTCCGGAACGATTTTAGTTTGTCCAATAGGTAGATAGGAAACTTTTTTTTTTTTTTTTACTTATCTGAATTATTATTATTATTACAGGAGTATTGAATTTTTGCCCCTCAGGCCCCAATGTGGGTCAGTGACCTATGCCCGGGTGGGCTAATCCCCGTAAAAAACAACAACAACAAAGCCGCGGGATATTAAGGTTTGTTTACATCCGGCAGTTCGGCTGCTCTCTCTCTCTCTCTCTGCTTGTCTATACAGAGTACAACATTTAACCCTTCAATATATATGAGCAGTATATAAGTGTTGCTTTCATATTCTTATGTAGAGTAATGACGATATGTTTTTACATGTGCGCACTTACATACGCGCAGTCTCACTTTTTTTTTACCATTAATGGTTAGCTACTTATATTGTTCCATTTATAACATTAAATAACATTACAGGTACCTGTACTTCAAACAACCATATTATTTTTTTTACATTAATTTTACTACAGCTACAATCAGGGTCTTATTTTCTTCAGTTTTATATGTAGAACCAATCAGTCACTGGTTTTGTAAGCTTTAACATAAACAATGCCGGCAGCCGTCTCGTCTCCTGTGTTTTAATATTCCACGTATTATTAATAAATTGTATTGTTAATTTTGCACACACAAACATTAATTCAATAAAAACAAATTCAGAAACATTAATTAAAATATATATGAACAGTAAATAAGTGTTGCTTTCACATTCTTATGTAAAGTAATGACGATATGTTTTCATGTGTGCGCACGCGCACTTACATACACGATCTCCCTTTTTCTTTACCATTATCGTTAGCTACTTCTATTGTTCCATTTATTAACATTAAATAACATTACTTAAAACAACCATATTAATTTTACTACAGCTACAACCAAGGTCTTATTTTCTTCAGTTTTATATGTAGAACCAGTCAGTCACTGGTTTTGTAATCAATGAAAACATTGCTGTGTCATTTCCTCGTGTGTTTTAATATTCTACGTATTATTAATGAATTGTATTGCTCATTTTGCACACATAAACATTAATTCAATAAAAAGACATTCAGTAATAAACAATAATGAATCTTTTGTACATAAGAGAAATGACGCTGTTTACACGATTATGCACGTCGTCTGCACGTTGGCGGGCTGTTCAAACCCGTTGAAATTCAAGTTTCCGCTATCAAATTTTTTTTTTGTGTTCCAATAAAATACGTTGAATTAAAAACTCGCGAAATTTGAGAAGCTACTACTGTATACGACATTTAACCCTTCAATATGTCTTAAAAGAGACCATGATGCAGAGAAAGTGGTGCTAGTGCTTCCAAGCATAAGCACAAGTCACTATCTATCCAGGAAAAGGGTGAATTTCCATGGTCCGGCACCGGTCAGGTCCCGAGGTTGCCGGACTAGAGAGGTACAACCTGTATAATGTGTTGTCTAATGGTAGACTCTGTTACTATATAGCATTAAAAAAATTATGACCAAGTCCCAGGTTGCTGATCTGACTTTCTGCCTCATTTATACACAATTGCTGGGTCTCAACTGTCTCTCTTACTTTGGCAACACAACATACATAATCATTTCTCACTCTTGAGCTGTTTTATTTTTTCCATTTCTCTATTTATATTATATTGTATATTATATTATATTATGCAGTATTATATTATATTATAAATGCAATATATAAAAACTATAATATTTCGTTATTTTTCCTTGAAATAAAATTTGTACGAAGGTGCTTCGTACCTCCACCAACCGCTTTTGTTTATACAAAGTCACAAGAATAATGGTTCCCCCCCCCACACACACCACATTCCTCCTCCTATACCTCCCCTTCTTTAAGTACCAAGAAAGAAGGTAAGAGAAATTATGTTAAGAAAGATTAATAAAGAAAGAACAGAATATGGTTGATTCAAAACAGAAAAAGAAATAATAAATAGAAATACAGAATAAATTAACAGAATATAAAGGGATAAATAAACCTCAGTTATGCTTTTGTTGATTGACAGCTAATATTGTGGTCACCCATGTGTATTTTCAGTGTGGTGCTATTACATCATAGCATCTGCTCTGAGATTAGCTGAAGGGACCGTAAAATACTTGTAACTTGCACTCTGATTGATTGACGCAAGTCATCTGATGCGACAGAATAGTCTTAGCCACGAATGTCTTGGCTACGACAATCGTAAGTTCGGTTTCAGTGTGCGAACTTAAGTTTTCAGTTAGCCCTCACCTAAGATTTTGAGCTATGTGAGCTATTGTGGCAGACTTAAGTCAGATATTAGTGCATCTGGGCCCAGAACTCATTGACAAAGTCCAGGGATATATATCTAATGTTGAAGTTCTCCAGCCTTGATAAGACCACATAATAACCTACACATGCAAAACACTTAAAAGTCAGCAACTTCCTGCAGTCTGCCATTTACTCTACTGCAACTTTTGTCTACCCACCTTCCACGCTCAGTACTGAGTTCCTACCAACACCTTTCCTACAGGTCCATCAGCCACGCTGCTAATCAATACAGCCCCCCCCCCCGAGTTCGCGGATTTTTACTTCGCGGTTCTCGGTTATTCGCGGATGACACCCTGGATATACCCAAAAATGTCTGTGGGTAGTTTTAAAGTTGCCAGCATTTTCGCAGCTGGGACAGAGAGACATTCGTTCTAGAGACAGTAATTTCCTTTACCTGTATTGTAAGAGCGATTTCCCTGTTAGCCGGAACAATTGGTGCAGAGCACTTTCGGGGATGAGAGATTTCCGGCTAACCAGACGACTTTCTCAAACCCGGAAAAATTCCTTATCCCCGGAATATTTTCCGGTTACTGGGATAAGTTTCCAAGTGTCTAAACTGGATATCTTGCACACACAGACACTAGCCCACTTCCCCAGAATGTTTCTGGGTGCTGGGAATGTTTTCCTTGAGTCTAAACTACCGGAGTCCTTAAATGCAGTTCTAATTTAGAAACTCTATTTCTTTACTATAATAATCCAGAATAATTTATCAAAAAGTTTGGTAAAATAAATATATTTGAAAATTAAAAATCTCTATGATATGGGAGTGAATGAAGCTGTGTTAGAGAAAAGACTGGTATTTTCCACTCCCATGGAGCTGTGGGGAGTGGGTATTGTGTACCTGACCTGACACAGTGCCAGGTGGAGGTAGGGTGGAGGATTAGTGGTCTCATATTACTGACCTTCTGATGGAATGTCAGGTCACCCTTTCTTGGGGGGATTAGTGGGTCTCATGACCTGAAGATGTCTTGAATAAACACAAAACCTAAAGTATTTTTAGAGAGTTTGTGATAAGTATAAGTATAAATGGAGTGAGAATGCAGAAAGGTGTCAGTAATTAGAGAGTTGGAGTGGAAATGAGTGTTGCCAAGCACTCCTCAACAGCTGATGTTTAACTCAGTCACACACAAACAAATCTGTCACACAATAAGGCCCTCACTCCTTTTGTCTGCTGTCTTAATTCCCTTGTTGGGGTTATGTGAGAGTCAAAAAATTTTAGGGGGTAAGGGGGAGGGTCGTGCAGTCACCTCCCCCCCCCCTCCTCATTCAAGTATGGCTAGTTGTAATAGGGAGATGAATTTGATACCATAAGGATCCTTAATAAATTCTCTACAAAATGTTTCCAATAAGATATCCTTAAACAAAATATTTCTATATGATACAGTGATGGGAATCCCATTCACTTATTAAAAAAAAAATGTAAGAAGTGTTGATACTGAAGTCAGTAAAATTAGTTCTAATTTCATTAGACACACCATTTTTTCATCAACATAATCCTGAATACTTTATCTAAAAATTTGGTGAAATAAATATATTGAAAAACAAAAGCTCTACTGTATATGATACAGGCATGAATAGAGCTGTTTCTTTTATCTTCACCACTGATCGGCTTGTCAGTTGCTTGGGCAATCGTCGTCTCTGTT